TAGAAAGAGATGAGATAAATTCCCATTAAGTACAAGTCTTCGCTGTGACAACTTGAATAGAACCTCCATGATTGGAAGAAATGGTATTTTGAATAACAGCCTTTACTATAATCTAATGGTGAACTCCTCCTTTATCCTTGCATACTTTGTGAAAACCCAGAGACTAACTCAAAATAGATGAAAGAAGGTAGGATTAATGTGTTGCCGAAGGCTTTCATGGCTGGAACCACTAGGTTGCTGTGAGTTTTCTGGGCTGTATGGCCATGTTCCAGAAGCATTCTCTCCTGACGTTTCACCCACATCTATGGCAAGCATCCTCAGAGGTTGTGAGGTATGTTGGAAACTAGGCAAGTGAGGTTTATATATCTGTGGAATGTCCAGGGTGGGACAAAGAACTCTTTGTCTGTTTGAGGCAAATGTGAATGTTACAATTGGCCACCTTGATTAACATTGAATGGCCTTGCAGCTTCAAAGACTGGCTGCTTCCTGTCTAGGTGAATCTTTTGTTGGGACGTGTTAGCTACTCTTGATTGTTTCATGTATGGAATTCCCCTGCTTTTTGAGTGTTGATATTTATTTACTGTCAGATGTTTTATTTTCGAAAATGAGTAATTTTATCTGCCTTTCTTGCTCCCAGCATTTATAATGGTCATTCATTTCTCCTTCATTTGAATCCCACATTCCCTCTCAAGATATCATGATGTTTTCCACTTCACCATCCTCTTCCCCATCTTTGTTTTGCAACGTTTGTCCTAATAAAAAGAGCTGGAGCTCTCAATAGCTTTCACACAGTTTTGTGGCTTTCTCAGTGGCCTAATAAAGGTGTTACGCTGTTATAGATTATGGGTTTCTTTTTGTCTTGTTGGCAAAACAGCTTTAAAAAACAGTTAATGATAGTCCACCCTGAAGCAATTTCAGTTGCTGGGGCTCCTATCTCTGTTCCATTTCAGTAAATGGGTGAAGATGGGGAAAGGTTCTCACTGGAAATATTTTAGAGGATGTGATATATTTAGCCCAGTTCTATGGATATTATTTTTTCATTTAGAACAGTGAGCTATAGAGAATGATTCATAGTCATGTCCACTTTCATCCGCATTGAATAGCTGTAACAGCTAGCATTGTACTTCCATTTCAATATTGCCAGAAACAAAAGGTGTTTGTTTTTATCTAAAAACACTAACACATTTTGAGCTTACTCACCACGAAATGTGGGGAGGACATCGGGATGCTATGGGCTTCATTTTAGGAGTGGGCATACTTCAGATTTAGAGCCAATTCAAGTTCTCTCCAGCATATTCAGTGATAAAAGGCATGTTAACTGCCTTACACATCTTATGACGGAAGTGAGTACACTGTAGTATATATATTTGAAATGTATCTGCCACTCTTCCAAGCTGTGGAACAACATTTTGGGCACTTTTCTTGTATAAATGCCTATAGTTTTGAAAATCCAGCCACACTATCATTTGGGGAAAGCAATAAAAGGGTAATTGGCATTATTTGGTGGGGGAGGTTATCTGTGTGGCCAGTGAGAATGCTTATGTTGCTGTCGTCGTTCACCATTCCCAAGACTTAAAACTCACCTGGGTTGCTAGGAAACTGCATTTCTTCGAGCTCTTTTCCCTGCAAAATACTATATCTAACCTAATTGCTGTATGGCATATGGTTGTACAATCTATAAAAGTGACACAGGCACATATTGGATAGTTGTGACTGTTGACAGCACCAAATTTTTCTTCCTACATCATTAAAACAACAAAACAAAGCACAGAAGTCAAACACTTTCCTATTACTACCTCTTTAAAGACAATTCCTTGCAAGATGAATGTTTTCATTCACTAAAAATTCTGCAAAGCCCATTGTGGAATATGCTTTACACTTTATCTGTCTATTTTAAATCACATTCCCAGATGAAGTTTGCAGGAGTTGCGTGTTTGTGTGAACCGCAGACGTATGTATATATGTATGATCTCCTGCTCTTCAGATCTAGTCAGTTGGTTGCAGTAGCAGCAGTCTTTCCTCAACTTCCTCTCTAGCACATACTATTACAACTGTGTGTTTTGTCTGAAAATCTCTCTCTTTAGCAATGCTACTGAGCAATGTCACTGTTTCCATGTTTCTACAATATGGAGTATGTAATGGGGATGTTGGGGCCTTTGGAGTATTTCCAAACTAAGCTGCCTTTGTGCCCATGTGGGTGCAAAATACAAAAGGAGTACAAATCTCCTTGTGAGAACCATTTTCAACAAGAAACATCCCGATTTTATGATTGCCAGGCGTTTAGTGAACTACAATGGAGGCAAACCATCACAACTCACTTTTTTATCATTGCAGAAGTTCATTATCACTATCAGCCATGCAATGAATAGCATCCAGCCTGGTCTGTTAGTATAAAGTAAGAAACAAAGGTTCAATTTTAGTTTAGTTTTATGTCAGGAGCGCCTTGAGAAACTGCAAGTCGCTTCTGGTGTGAGAGAATTGGCTGTCTGCAAGGATGTTGCCCAGGGGATGCCTGGATGTTTTGATGTATTACCATCCTTGTGGGAGGCTTTTCTCATGTCCCTGCATGAGGAGCTGGAGTTGATAGAGGGAGCTCATCCGCACTCTCCTCGGATTTGAACCTCCAATCTGTCGGTCTTCAGTCCTGCTGGCACAAGGGTTTAACCCATTGCTCCACCGGAACTCAATGAACTCTATTTGGACAGTTTGCGTCTCCTCGTGACCTATAGCCCTGTCATTTGTGCTAGAAATGCTATACCTGCAAAATAATGCACTCAGGGCCAACAACCAGAAGATATGGTCACATACAATGCCAGACCCTGAAAACATCCTCTTAAAAAACAAACAAGCCATCGTTATTTTTTGTACTGGTCAGATAGACCTCAGATAAGGATTACCATGTAAATATTAGATTTCCGCAGGCATTTGTTGTCTGCATAATTCTGGAGTTTTATATAATAGTGATGCTTGAAATAAACGTTATATATTTCAACCATTGCCATGAAAAAGCTGGATGTGAAAGCAGTTTTGGGACTTGCTAAATCATTTGGCCAAAGTCAAATGAACAAATCCAAAGGGTGCTTACCAATGCTTCCTCTTCATCCTGGAAAGAAGTGACAAGTGGAGTGCCGCAGGGTTCCGTCCTGGGCCCGGTCCTGTTCAACATCTTTATTAATGACTTAGATGAAGGGTTAGAAGGCATGATTGGGAGAGATAGCCAATACTCCAGAAAACAGGAGCAGAATTCAAAATGATCTTAGCAGAGAGATGGGCCAAATCTAACAAAATGAAGTTCAACAGAAACAAATGCAAAGATACAGAATGAGGGACACATGGCTCGAGAGCAGTACATGTGCAAAAGTCTTGGAGTCCTCGTGGACAAGTTAAACATGAGTCAATAATGTCATGCAGCAGTTTTAAAAGCCAATTGGATTTTGACCTGCATACATAGGAGTCTAGTATCTAGATCCAGGGAAGTCATTCTACCCCTCTATTCTGCCTTGGTCAGACCACACCTGGAATACTGTGTCCAATTCTGGGTACCACAATTGAAGGGAGATGTTGACAAGTTGAATGTGACCAGAGGAGGGTGACTAAAATGATCAAGGGCCTGAAGAACAAGCTCTATGAGTAGCGGCTTAAAGAGCTGGGCATGTTTAGCCTGCAGAAGAGATGGCTGAGAGGAGACATGATGGCCATGTATAAATATGTGAGGAGAAATCATAGGGAGGAGGGAGCAAGCTTGTTTTCTGCTGCTCTGGGGACTAGGATGCAGAATAATGGCTTCAAAGTATAGGAAAGGAGATTCCACCTGAACATTAGGAAGAACTTCCTAATGATGAGAGCTATTCAGCAGTGGAACTCTCTGTCCTGGAGTGTGGTGGAGGCTCCTTCTTTGGAGGCTTTTAAACAGAGTCTGGATGGCCATCTGTCAGGGGTGCTTTGAATGGAATTTTCCTGCTTCTTAGTAGAGGGTTGGACTGTATGGCCCATGAGGTCTCTTTCAACTCTACAATTCTATAATAGTTTGTTGTCTGTTTGTTTTCCTGCTCAGATTCAGGGCTCATTACAGTTCTGTATCTCACTCAGAAGACATAATGGAGCTAATATTTCCGTCCTACCCGACAGCCCAGCCTAGCCATGTCCCAGATGTTGGGGAGCAGGCAGATTGGGGGGGGGGGGGAAGGAGAAAGCAGGCAAGTGTCCACCTATTTTCTTGTGTCAGAGGAAAGCAATGTCATTCTCTCCAGGGACCTCTAGAAGATCCCAGGATGTCACAGAGCATCCAGCTATAGGAAGATAGTGGGTACAATTGTCTGGTGCTGCCTTCACTCTTTACTAAAGAAGGAAATCAGGTTCAGAGGATCGAAGGTGAGAAAAGTTAGATTGAGAATTTAGATGAGAGACTATTATAACTATGTCTCCTAATGTAGAGTCATTGTCTATAGTATACACTTGATCAGTTAGTCAAGTAGCACAAGAAATGTTTACCATGTGAGAAACATCAAGAGATTCAAGACACAGAAGAAGAGGCATGTTATGCCCTTTTGGCATCAAGGCCCACGATAGCGAGGGCCTTAGAGTAATTGCATCACTTTGGCTCTGGGATCTAGTAGTGCACCATAGAAAATGTTTCTGGGCACAAAACTGGATCAACTCCATTAGTACTTGAACTGATATTTACTAGTAACCTTCCAACAACAGAGAAAGAAGACTTTCTTGTTAGATAAGGGCATCTTGTGATATTCTACGTTGCTGCAAAAACTGCAGAGAAACTATTCTAATGGCGTTCTGGAAAATAAATTGCTGTTGGCTTTTCTGTATTTGGCTGAGGCAAGGAATCTATACTATTCAACGAATATATGAAACCTATAATCAAAAATTAATGTTATAAGCCTGAAGACCTCCAGAGTGATCGAGTCAACTCACTGCATGTTTAATTAGATAAGAGTTTTCTTCAAAGCCAAAAAAACAAAAATGCAATTTATTAGATTGTAATGTCTGTTTAAAGAAATTTATTTTCTGACTCAGTAAAACCACAGATTTTTTTAATGCCAGTCATATTGAACTCTGAGAATCTCTGGGGAATTAAGCCACCTATTTCAAATACAGCTTTGTATATATGTTTCACGCAACACACTCATCAGAATTCTCTTTGTGTATCCCATTTCACTCTACAAGCAAGTTACCCTTTATGAAGTGTCATTTCCCAGAGCAAGTAACTTTTACATAGAGTAAAGGTAAATGTTTCCCCTGACATTAAGTCTAGTTGTGTACGACTCTGGGGGGTGGTTCTTATCTCCATTTTTAAGCTGAAAAGCCGGCATTGTCTGTAGATACCTTCAAGGTCATGTGGCCGGCATGACTGCATGGAGCGCCATTACCTTCCCACAGAAGTAGTACCTATTGATCTACTTTCATTTGCATGTTTTCGAACTGCTAGGTTCGCAGAAGCTGGGCCTAACAGCAGGAGCTCCCCCTGCTCCCTGGATTCGAATCACTAACCTTTCAGTCAACATGTTCAGCAGCTCAGTGGTTTAACCTGCTGCGCCACCAGGGGCCCTTTATATAGAGTAGATAACATTAAACTGCACCTTTTTCCAAAACCATTTCTTAAGCTTGATGTGACTTAAAAAGCACCACAATCCAATGAGATAAAAACTAGCATTTAATTGAATTTAACATCTGGTGTAAAAAACTTATTTCGCAGTATTGTTTTCCTATTTGTAAGACAATGAAGTGCATACAAGAAAGATTTCTTTTAGTTGCAAGAGCATTTGTCTTGTTTGGCATTTGCAGCTACTCTTGCACTGATGCTTGAAAATGTATGGTCCTCCACTCTCCCTGGCACAGAATGAGTTATAGAATGCCTCCTTCCGATTCACAATAATGTCTTTTTCCCCTCAACACAGCCATTCAGAAATCACCTGTTGGGAAATCTGCATCACAGAATAATAGGTGGGTGAAAAGATGTGTATGAACTCCTTTTTTTAATGTGCTAGACTATTACTAGTTTGCAATTAAATACAGAACACCTTGTCTTTCTTTACACAGGTATGGAAGTTACATTTCCTACAAACTTCACTCATTATATTATAAGTACCAATGAAAAACCACGAAGAAGTTTTTCTGCTACTTAAAAGAGGTAAATATTGTTGCCCAGCCTTAGGGTATTTATATATTTAACATATCAGGAGTGAACCAATGTATTTGAGAAAACACAAAGTTTAAAAACTTGGCATTCTATTAAATGTCCTTTGACATGAGAGAATCCTCCCCGCAGGATTACAACACAGCTGGGTGTCCCCTGGGCAATGTCTTCGTAGACGGCTGATTCTCTCACTCCAGAAGCGACCAGAAACCTTAGGGTGAAATAGACTGGTGCTGTATGGATTGTAGATATACCCAATGTCCCTACTCATCTGGACAAATGAGAAGTGCTGGAGTGGCCTTTTCACTGTGTCTCAACGTCGTATTTCAAGATGCGTGAGTAGAACTTGTGGTTTGCATTCTCCAACACCATCACATACACCTCTGTGCAACCAGAAGTGCTACAGGATCCTTCCCAGTAACCATTCTTACTTAGAATTAAAGGGAAGGTTTTTTCACATTGAACAAATGCCTTGGCAATGCTGTGAAGCTTGAGTTTAAACTTGATGTTGCAATTAGCTGGTAGCAGTGCAGCTAAGGGCTCCAGAAGCTCATAGCCTTCTGCCCACTTGCTATAATTCTGGGGGAACATTGGCCACTTGACCTCTGCATTTGGGCAACAGACGAGGTAGTTGAAGACATAGTTATAGTTGCCAGGATCAGACTTCTTCTTAGCAAAAATTTTGAAAGCAAAGTTTCCTGTGTAGGGAAGATGGATCTTAAAGTCTATCTGGTTCCCTTGACAAACTTGCAAAATATACCGTCTACTCATGTCCTCGCTGAGGTTTAGGTCATCTGAATGCAGTGAGGCTAGAACACTCAAGTCTTTACTGAGGATGAAGCTGACATCAAAACGGCCATCATTGGTATGAATAATAGGGGCTTTTTGTGAAGGTTTGAGGAACCCCTGTCTCTCTGTAAACCAGCTGGGTCCAACAGGCTGATGGAGCTCCTTTGGAAAGCATATGTTCCTGTCCACAGCAGTGCACTCTACGGTGTATTCTAGCACACAGTTGTAGACTTCATCTGAGCCCTTGGATGGTTTGGCATAGATCTGTAGCTTGTGACTCCCCGTCTTCTGTGGATAGAGTTCCAGACTCATCCCATTCCTCTTCAGCATCATCAAGCTATACGCCTTTGCCCCTTTCAACTCAAACATGAACAGCATTGGGAAACGGCTCTCCACTTCTATTGCTACTTTTCCATTTACTGTGACATGCAAATAAAGAAGGCTGGTTAAGATGCTTCCTCCTATTTACTGAAAAACACAAATCAGTCAAAAGCCCTGTAGAAAATGACCTAGAGAATTGAATATCCTGCTGTATTGTCAATCATTTTGGCAGTGAAAGGGAGGATATTATGGTTGGCTGGTTAGAATTTGTCAAGTGTCTGTCAACTCCAAATTCAGAATAAATAACAAGGGGGCTGAAGGGTGGGGAGTTTTTAGTTTGGGATACTTGTTTGCTTCTATTTTATTACAGATGCAATGGCACTACTCATCATTCTGAGAAAAGATTAAAGCCTCTGTGGATTTCAGATACAGCTCGAGCAGCATACAGTTTTGCCGACAACACTTGAGAAGCTGTCAGTTTCAAAGAAGCAGAGAGAGTTCAAAAGACAGGATTCCAAAATTAGGTTCTGATTCTGAGACACTCTGAAGGGGGAAGCCAGGAGCTTCTGAAGCCCCATGTAATTACAGGAACCACAAAAGGCTCTGAATCTCCAGCCCTCCCCTCTTCTGAAACCTTTCTCATTTTTTGCATTTATGGTCTCCTCCAGATAGTGTAAATATATCAGGAGGTTGCTGGAGACCATGGTGCGTGTTTGATTCTACACTATTCTTCCTCTTCTTTTTAATATCTAAATATTATTGTTATCCTGAGCAATTGTCTGGCAGACTCAAATTGTTCCTTTTTAATTGTGAGACATACTGGAACAATACACAACTTTTTTTCCCCCTGTTTATCCCATTTTTCAAATTTTTGTTTTGAGTTACAAGTTACACCACTTTAATGCAATGATATTTTCAACCACAACTCTAAAAAAACATATTTACAAAATCAAAGAGGACTATAGAATGACCTCAGAAAACCATACTCTTGATGAGAGAAAAAACCTAGAAGAGTCTGACCTCATCAGATGAAGGCAGAGAAGCATTTTCTTCTCGCTTCTCTCTCCTGCTGGCATGGAGTTTCTTGGAGCCCATGATGCAGGGCTACTTCTGGCAGGGCTCCGTGCCAGCAGTGTTGTGGCAGCAGAGCCTAGAGGAGTCAGGTGTACACCCGACTCCTCATCCAAAAAAGGCAGAGGAACCAAAGAAGAAGTGGGGGACAATGGGGAAACATTGTGTGAAGGCAAAGGACAGACCACAATGTTAGGGAACACAGCCAGGCGGGTTCTCTGTGCTGCCCCATGATTTCCCCCCTGCCCCCCACTTTATAAAAGGGCCATCTGATGAGGTCCCTAGTGCAGTTCTAATAAATCACTACAAACACACACACACCTTCCAAGAATGGAATGTGTTAGGATGACTAAATGAAAAATATGGGGAAATCTCAAGGGGGCTATCTTGCGAAAACTTGCTGCTGTTAACTGCCCTCAAATGGACTTTGACTTTTGGCAACTCCATCAGTGAGATACAGTACCTCAAAGTTATCCTGTCATCATCAGCCCTGCTTATGCTACTTTAAACCAGCATGGAAGAGCCCAGTTTCAAGCTAGAAAATTCCAATATTTCTAGGATCTCATGCAGTCTGACTGTGGAATAATGCTTGAAATGTATATAGATTGGGATCCATACAGTGAATTACAGCCTAAATTGACTGTATAGCTCTATAGAAAATAGAGCTTTTCAAATAAAACAAACAAACAAACAAACAAAACCCCTCCCAGCAATCTAATTTATAGCATTTGTTGCTTAATTTTTTGCCTCCCCCCCCCCTCTTTCCAAAGCTGGAAAAGTTTGGTATAATATTGCCATATAGCCAGAATGTTTGTGACTGTACCTGTTTGAATAATTGCTGTTGGTGGATGGGCTGCCAGCAATCCCATCTTGTAGAAGTCACTCTTGTACAACATGTTGCTCTCAAACTGTTCCAGTGTCACCGCTGGTTTGAGTAGCTGCCAATTGCTGTTGTCTGGGAAATGATTATTAATAAAGAGGGCAGGGTGTGTGAGGAAGTAAAATTCATTGTATCTGTAACAAGAAGGGAGAGGTCACTGGCAACTGGCATAATGTCCAACCTTGTATCAATGAGACTGTAATCCTAGGCAGATTTGTTTGGAAGATGAAATCTGTGGGTTTTGCTTCCAAGAAGGAAATCTGATGTCTAGAGAGCAAAAGATCTGCAGAGTTTCTCTGATTGGGTAATAAGTACTGTGAAGTATAGCCAAAATCAGTGGTTTAGAATGTAATGCCCATGTCTTAATAAAGATCTATGGAGCCCCCAGTGGTGCAATGGGTTAAACCCTTGTGCTGGCAAGAACTGAAAACCGACAGGTCAGAGGTTCGAATCCAGGGAGAGTGCAGATGAGCTCCCTCTGTCAGCTTCAGCTCCCATGCAGGGACATGAGAGAAGCCTCCCACAAGGAAGGTAAAGCATCAAAACATCTGGGCATCCCCTGGACAATGTTCTTGCAGACGGCCAATTCTCTCACACCAGAAGCAACCTGCAGTTTCTCAAGTCACTCCTGACACTACACACACACCTACCTACCATTCCTTCAGATATTTAAATATATTGAAAGACTTTTGACCATCTTGGTTGTCCCTTTCTGGACATTTTCCAGCCTTTTAATATTCTTCTTGAATTGTGTCCAAGAACTGGGCACAGTATCCCACGTGAAACCTGAGCAAAGCAGAAGCGAGAGGCACTATTTCCCTCCGATCTGGATACATTGTGTCAATCTGCATCATCTGCATTTCTAGGGGAACCAAAGACTATATGCAAATGTTCTGCCTCTGTGTAGAATTAGCACATGAGAGCCATCCTCATTGTGCTCCAGACATAAGACGGAAACATTTTCAGCAGGGAGCCTTTTGTATTCATTTTCCCCCTCCAGTATTCTAAAACACACAAAGAGCTACACTTGTGTATAACACTCTTTTTCAGTTCTATTCCTCCAACTAGCAGGCTCTTTTTGTGCTTCCTCCAGTATTTTCATTCTACATCAAAGAAGAAGGTCTGAAAGGGGTTATGTGTTCTGTAGTGATGTGGGATCAATGTTAAGGGAGTGGACACACTTTTGCCAGATTTCTTTCCTCTTCATGCATACAAGCAAGAACAAAAGGAAAAATGTGCAGAAGGCGGCAGAGAAGGGAACTGAACAGCAACCTAGAATGCAGCTTCTTTGTCTTCCTGCTAAGTGGGATCACATCCTACAACAGGGTTTGGCAAAATGCAGCTTTCCGGATGTTGTTGGACTGCAAGTTCTAGCAGTGAAGTGTAAGGAATGTTAGGGGCTTCAATTCAATAGTATTTAAAGGGATACCTGCTTCCAACCCTGTTCTGAGAACTCTAGTCTGGGCAGAAGTGTGTGTACTTTGTAAGAAAAATTGTCAATGAAATCCAAATGTTTATATCTACCCAAACGATTCCATGGATATTCATTTGCTTATACTTTCTGTACTGTTTCACTTTTGTAATTTAAATTTTGTCTCAGTAAGTAATGGAAGGCAGAGTTAACCAAGACACACACATTTCTATGTCTTCTTATGTAGCCTTAGGACTAGAAATACGTTTTTAAATCAATCAAAACTCTCTCAAGTAGATGTTCATATGATTCATATGGCTGACTTTCTATGGATGCTGAATTTTGTCACCCATGCACTTTGGTAAATCTGGCATTTAAAAATGCAGCACTTTGGAGGGAAACATCCTAGCTCTAGACGTTGAGTGATTTTTTAATGTGTTTTTGTGGAACTTAAATGGGTAAATCATCCCTAATGCCAGAATAACCACTCAGTGTTCAGTGGCTGGCACATGTTTAAGTCACTCATTTTTTTAGTAATACATTACTAAAGAGGTTATTGGTAAATTAATTTTCAACAGGATCTAGTTACTATCAAGCTAAAGCTTCTCAATTGTCTCATTACTACAAATCCCAATTTTTCTCCCCCCCCCCTTTATTTCATGTCAGGAGCAACCTGAGAAACTGCAAGTTGCTTCTGGTGTGAGAGAACTGGCTGTCTGCAAGGATGTTGCCCAGGGGACACCTGGACGCCTTGATGTTTTACCATCCTTGTGGGAGGCTTTGCTCATGTCCCTGCATGAGGAGCTGGACCTGACAGAGGGAGCTCATCCATACTCTCCCCAGATTTGAACCTGTAACCTGTTGGTCTTCAGTCCTGCTGGCACAAGGAATACCAATGGAAGCTAGGCATTTTATCTGTCAGACTGACGTTGGGAAAAATAAAAAGCTACTTTTTATAGATCTGAAGCTCTTTTGAAAATGGGCCTTTGCCCCTTTTCATTTCAGTCTTCAAGATGCAGAGCTTGTCTTGGAAGAGTGAGGTAAGTGCATTCAGTTGTGATGAATTAATGATGAGGACTGCACCCGACAATACTTCACAATACATTAACACCTATGACATGGCATGGATTTGTTTTAAAATAATGATGTAGAAGAACTTACAAAGTTTAGCCTTTCATCTTAGGTTTGACAGAGTTTGGATTCTTGTGCTATTGGGGAAATTTGCACTCAAACTTTACTTTTGTTGTTGTGTGCCTTTAAGTGATTTGACTTGGTGACCCTAAGGTAAACCTAGCATGGGTTTTCCTTGGCAAGATTTGTTTAGAGGTGTTTAACTTTGCCTTACTCTGAAGTTGAAGGAGTATGATTTGCCCAAGGTCACCCACTGGGTTTCAATGGCCAAATGCGGATTCTAACTCCATTCTCTAGAGTCATAGTTCAATGCTCAAACCATAATGCCACGTTGGCTCTTGCCTCACCAGGTGGAAAATAACTGAAAACACCCATGAATCTACATGGTGGGAAGACTGTTGGTATGTACAGAAAGACCTCAGTGTTCCTGTCCCTGTACCCCCAAGTTTTAGAATAGGGAGATAATAATTGTACCTGAAGGTAAATTTGCTGAAACAGTCGTCAATGGAGCCACTCCCCCATGTGCTATCCACCAAATGCCACCGTCCATCAAGGTAAACAGCATTCCAGGCATGGTCATACTTTCCAGAAAAGGTCTGTCCAGATCTGTACCCATGGCCTTTAGAGTAACCAGATAAATTCATGCACTGCACTCCTGCGATGCTGAGGGAAATACAAGCATAAAGAAACTCAAGTAGCCCTTCAGACATGAAGACCTCTCTTTCCCCCCTCTACTGCTCCAAAATCACACATTAAACAGTTACGCTCTTCCATGCTTAGATCAAAGTTCCATAAAATGTATCCCAAATGATGGTTATCTGCCTATATTACTAGTGATTCTTGTGAAATGCTACTATCACTACTGAATATATCCTGCTTTTTGCCTTTATTCTCATGCCTTGTGTAGGACGTTACTTTGTGTAGGATGTTACTAACAGGTTGCAAAGTATGGTATTTTGTAGTTCATCTTCAAAGAGCTGTCATAGGCTTGCATAAATGAAGAATGCTGAAAACTACATCCTCACTTTCTTAAAGGAAATCAGGAAGTACATGATTCTTTCAAAGTCTGTGATGGAAAGTGGCCTTGTTTTCCCTTTCCTAGACCAATAGCTGTTCCATGTGCCTGCTCCCTTGGGCAATTTCCCCTTTGTCAATCCATCAGTAATGCTGTATCTAAATCCTCCTTTCCTATCTGTTCAGGCAAATGTAATCTTGGCTGGTGCTGCTCATAATGACTCAGTTTCTCTGCACATAACCTCTAGAAATCAGTTCCACCAGATCAATTGTAACAGTGATTGGATTCTAGCCCTGGCCAGCTCTGAGGAACTTATATTAGTGCAAAGAACAAAGGTTTGCTGCTTTGTACATGTATGGTATTATTGTTTGTACTCTTTCCCAGGTTAGATTATTGTAATACGTTTTCATGGGACTGTCCTTGAAGACAGTATGGAACATTCAATTGGTGGTTCTTAACTTGTGGTCTGAGGATCCCCGGGGATCTGCAATATCCACACAGGGAACCTGCAAAAGCTCAAATCCATCTTTGACAAGGACCACGAGTGCTTCCACATCATCTGGAAGCTTAATAAGCTCCAGTGCATGTTTGTGTTGATCTCTTTGCTGCCTCTTTACACCACTACCAAGATTATGGGTAATAACCCTGTCACAAGTGGGGAAGGCAGCTCACCATCTGCTGTAACATAACAATGAATGGCTGAAGAGGTACATCCTCCTCACCTGTGGCCACACCTTTCTGAATTATTTCCATAATATTTCCCCTCAAATCTAGCCCCAAGGGAGAAAGTGGCATGCAAGGATAATACGTACGAAGAGAGAGAGAGAGAGAAGATAGAGGACTTGTTTTGGGTTTGTTTCTCTAACAAGATCAAAGCAATAATGAACAAATTATAACACACCGTGGTTCATGGTTCAGGCATTATTGTTTTTGCTGTTGTTATTATGCACTTTAGGGTTTTAAACTTGATTTAAGTCGTGGTAGTCTATAGCAACAGAAGATATTAAAAATGGTCAATGCTAAAAAAAAAGGTTAAGAATTGCTGGTGTAGATTATTTGAGAAAACTTTTTTGGGAACCCATTTAGATCATGATACCTGACCTCGATGGATTACCACCTTGTTGTGGTGAGGGGGCTTTCATGTTCTAGTGAACTTGCAGGCATAACCACCAGAGTCATGCACTCCTGGGGGTGGGGGGAGCACAGTGAAGGTTCAAGACAGAGCACAATCTGAAGACCTCAACAGTGGATCAGGTGGAATATAACATAGTATATGTTAGGCGGAAGGCGGAAGGTTGCAACAGATTGAGAAGCCACCATCATTTTGTTAACCACGCCACTGGTTGGGACCCTCACTCTGTGAAGACTGTGTGTTGATTGGCCATGCACCGACCTCCACACATTAAAAAAGCTCATTCTCAGGCATCTTCCAAGAACTTGGAAGGCCATCGTACTCGGAAAACGAGAGATCGTCTAAGTAAGAAGATGTATCTGCCATCTTTAGTGGTTACCAGTGGAGTCCCCGGTGGCGCAGTGGGTTAAACCCCTATGCCAGCAGGACTGAAGACCGACAGGTCGCAGGTTCAAATCCGGAGAGAGTGCGGATGAGCTCCCTCTGTCAGCTCCAACTCCTCATGCGGGGATATGAGAGAAGCCTCCCACAAAGATGATAAAAACATCAAATCATCCGGGCATCCCCTGGGCAACGTCCTTGCAGACGGCCAATTCTTTCACACCAGAAGCGACTTGCAGTTTCTCAAGTCGCTCCTGACACGACAAAAAAAAAGTGGTTACCAGTTTGTTTCTGGGCTTGATTTAAGTGTTTGCTTTGACTTTATAAAACAGGGATCCACTAGTCCAAGCTAGCAAAGCTAATGATGAAAGATGGATGTTGAAATCCAAAACACTGGTCCACAGTTGCTCAGGCATGGTTTAAAGCAGAATTTAGAAGGGATCCTGTGGAATAATACAGTTGGAATTTTTCTGTACTGAATTTAGGACAATAAAGATTTAGACACGTGTGCTCTTGTATGTTCTGATTTTCACTCTGTTTCTAATATTCAAGTGTGAGTGCTAGAGGACTTCATACTGCAAGTCAGCAAGACTTATATTGTTATTTGTTGTTGCTAAAATGAGTTGCATTTTATGTGATACTTTATCTTATCACTGTATTATACTGGCACCTTTTATAAGCTGTCATGTATAGTTCAATTTAACCAAAGGGTGGAGTATAAATTTAAAAACCACAGCAAAACAATTATGAACAATCCTATGTGGTATAGAGCTATTCCTATCAGGTTCCTGCCTTTTATGGATAACAGCTCATCAATAAGAAGCAAGTGGCAAACAGAGGGATGAGACGAGCTCCCTCAACACTCAGCTAAGGCTGTTGCTTGAATAGCATGATGGTAGATGAAATTAAATTTGTGGTGACATGGATTGAAAAAAACAATTGGAATTGATTGCAGACACTGATACAATCACTGCAGACAGTTCAGCAAAAGCATCTGCTCAATGCATGGAGATGATTAAAAGCAAATAAGATGTTAGCCTGTGTTTCAAAGGGGAATTGAAAATAGTCTGCAAAAACAGTACAAATTACAATGGTATTGCGTGAATAGCATGACCTTCCCTTCAATACTGTAGACAGATTTGGTCACTTCACTGTGAATAAAACTTGACAGAGAAGGAACAAAAAACGTAAAGCGCTTGAGGAAAACACATAAGGTAAGAGAGTTCCTTCAGTGAGACATGTGGGAAAATTAAGATAATTGTCTGTGATAAAGTGTAAGCCTGGAGAGAACGCGAGTCTATATAATTGATGAAAGAGAAAATGACCACTTGGTTGGCCAATTCTTTCCCATAATGTCTCTGGCTGGGTCAATGCGAGAGGCAACACTGATTTCTGATTAAGCTCCCACAATATAAAGATTCCTGCATGTTGCCATGTTCCTCTGCCAAACTTGTACTTTGCTTGCCAGTCAGAGCTGCCCTTAGTCAATTAACTTTGCTGTTGTGAGTTGTGGGGTTGCCAACCCAGACAGCTGCCCAAGTCAGCAAGGCTCTGGAATTGAGAGCAACGACTGCCTCAGTATGCCAAATTGGAAGTTCAGTGTAATTTTACAAAATGTATTCTGATGAAATGGGGTGGCGGTGGATTATAATATATACTTGAACAATAGAGATTAATGGTGTCTTGTCAAATACATTTGTTTCGCAGACTATTTTTGTGTTTAAAAATCACTGAGGTAATGGAGGGTGAGGGAGATGAGGCTTTCTAGTGTTCAGTTCCTTCAGAGAGTTTATTATTCTCCATGAATGTCCTCTATCTCCCCAAAGTAGTCGGATTGTTGGCAGGACTGCCAAGGAAAGCAGCTGTCAGAGCAGAGACACCAACACCTGTCTCCGTGCTCCTGGAGTTAACTCAAATGCCGAGGCTAAATAGCATGTGAGTTGTGCACATCAGAACATGGAACGGGATGCAGCAATCTAAGCACGTCATATATCCTCACTCTGAATCCTGACTGAGGAACATATGGCTTCTGGTTGTTGTTGGGTTGTTGGAACAAAAAAGGGTCCATCATCCCTCAGCATTGGCTATAGCGTCCAGGACCAATAGAAGTTACAGTTCAATAACACCAAGATTATATTCCTCTGCTGAGCCAGCTCCACTGGCTGCCAATCCGCTACCGGGCACAATTCAAGGTGCTGGCTTTAGCCTATAAAGCCCTAAACGGTTCTGGCCCCGCTTACCTCTCCGAACGCATCTCCACCTATGAACCGACTAGAACATTAAGATCGTCTGGGGAGGCCCTGCTCTCGATCCCGCCTGCGTCACAGGCGCGCTTGGCGGGGACGAGAGACAGGGCCTTCTCAGTGGTGGCCCCTCGGCTATGGAATGCCTTGCCGGCAGACATCAGACAGGCACCTTCGTTGCTGACGTTTCGGAGAATGGTCAAGACCTGGCTTTACGAACAAGCGTTTGGCTAAGCAATGCAACTAATTAAGGAAGACGGTAAATGGAACATAGGAACGGCACAACGACTATGAGAACGGATCTGATTTCAACTGAGGCGTTATATATGTTGTTTGTTGATTTGTCCTGTCTGATTGTTAATTGTTGTGGATCGACGTCGTCGATCCTGTTGTTGTATTGTTGTGTTTTAATTGCACTGTAAACCGCATTGAGTCGCCTGTCAAGGGCTGAAAAATGTGGTATAAAAATGAAGCAAATAAATAAATAATAACCTGTGTTGTGTTCTCACTTCAACTAATGGCTCAGCAACAGAGGTTGGAAAACATACTTCTTTGGATTGCAGTCTCCATGATTCCTCAGCCAGTGTGTCCATTGACCATAGTAGCTGGGAAAATGTAGGAGCAGTTATCTAAAAAGTAATTTTTGCAAGCTGGACTGAAGAAGTATTGAACTGTGAAAAATTTAAACTCATCTTGCCAAATTTGGGTTTTTTTCCACCTGAAATCTCAAGGTCTAGCAACTAGATCTAGGCAAAGATGTGTAAATGGGACTAAAGAGCAGGGTTCCTCTTAGCACAGCTTAAGTCTAGGAATTTGTTTTCATTAACAACCCTGAATTGATCTCAAAGTCCTTTTGCATAAAAGTCAATTACTAGCTATACTTTCTCCATCTTACTAATTTAGATGGTGAGAAATTTTGTTGTTGTTCTTGTTGAATAATTGAAAGTTGAAAGGTCTTACCAATCTACTGCAAATTATTCAGCACTACAGGCAGATTCAGATCCACTTTCTGCTCATAGCTGACCTAGATGCATAACAAGGCATTACTGAAAGACTGAGAAGAGCTGTTTACTTAGTAAGAATTCTCACCCTCATTATGGGAACATTAATGGCAGACCATTTTTGTGTTCAGCAACCTCCCAGCAGGCTACCACCCATTTTTATTTTAAAATTGCCATATCGCAAGGCTTTTGATTCAGAGCAGTGTCTTAACAATTGAGTGTCTCAGTGCCCAAGCATGGCTTTGCCTTTCCTGTCAACTGCAGTAGACGAATGCTTTGTGGTTGAGGAAGACAGGAAAATTGGTCTGGAATGAGCAGGACTTAAAGGCTCCTCAAGGATGGCAAAACGTTTGAGGATCTGCTGGAAGTTATAGTTGTACTTGCTGAAGGTTGACATTCTTCTTCTCCTAGTGTTTGTCTTGTGAATTTTTCATGAATTTCTGGTCTGCAAAACAACTTTCTCCCCTGTTCTAGGACCTTCAGATGCAGCCTGGCATAAATGCCACATGTCTGTATCCAATACTTTGGTTCTTCCTGATGTAGTGAGAGAACACAGTAATAATGTTTCAAAGTGTGTGACTTTTGCAATGGTTTTCTGCTGATCGCTGTTCCCTTGTTATGCTCTTGGTTACTAGACTGAACTTCTTTTTGGAGTTATACTACTAAAGTCAGATGGACAGTAACAACAATGGCTACACAATCAAATCTTATGTGTGAAAGGGTCCCTGTGTTCTGTGGGTGGGGCCATTTGCACAACATGTGTCCAAACTCAGTGTGATGGTCTGGTCCCCACTGCTTTGCACTGGAAATTGCTGAAGGGGGACTGTTGTTCTTTTAACCTTCAGATATTCCAGGAAAACACAGGGCTTCCTCTAACTAAATTATCACAATGTACTCATCTGCCATTATGTTAATGCAATGCGAGCCTCAGCAGATGGCACAAAGTAAATTATAGGGGAGGGGGGGGGGGGGCGAAGAGAAGCAAAATTGACCTTTCGAGGATTTGCTGCTACTCAATGGTACAGCTTCAAAATGACGTTTCAGATCCTAGTTGGTGTAAATGGAGACAGAATTTGTACAGGGTAATGGGGCAACTTAATCTTCCTTTGGCTTTAAATATTTCTGAGCAAATTGTTACCTGCACATTTGTTCAAAAAGCCCGGCGTATCCTTCACAAATGCTCTTGCCGCTCTGAAGGACATCCTTGGGCTTGAAAGACAGTTTGTCTTTGTGAAAGAAGCCCACAATATCATATGCTGGAGGAACAAAGGTGAAAAAGTTCAGAGACAAGTGTAAAGGAAAACTAGAGGTGGAAAGTTACAAGCTTAACTACAGTATATCATAAAGATAACATCTGCCATATGTGTATATTGAAGAGCCTATGACCATACCACCCTGAACACACCCCATCTCATCTGATCTCAGAAGCTAAGCAAGGTCGGGCCTGGTTAGTACTTGGACGGGAGACCAGCTGGGAATACCGGGTGTATATCGAAGACCACAAAGACGCATAACAAGGAACTATTCAAACAGAATACAGTAGAGTCTTGCTTATCCAACTTTTGGCCATCCAATGTTCTGTGTTATCCAACACAGTCTGCCTCTCACCCGGATCCACTGTTGTTTCAATACATTGCAATGTTTTGGTGCTAAATTCATAAATACAGTAATTACTACATAACGTTACTGTGTATTGAACTGCTTTTTCTGTCGGTTTGTTGTAAAACATGATGCTTTGGTACTTAATTTGTAAAATCATAACATAATTTCACGTTTAAGAGGCTTTTCCTTAATTCCTCCTTATTATCCAACATTTTAGCTTATCTAGCCTTTTGCTGGCCCATTTATATTGGTTAAGCAAGACTCTACTGTATTAACCCTATTCAATGAGCCAAAGGATGTATCTTCTATAAATGTTTGCTTTCAAAACTTAAGTGCATACAGGGATAGATGAAACTGTCAATGTCAGCTTCTCTGTTTGGCCTTTTTCCAATCTCAAATTTCATTCCATCCAGTTTCTGCATTGGTTTGTTATTTTTAGACATTCACATAAAATTCCGTATGCATTTTTTCTTGAGCATTTGTTCCAATACACACATTTTGCTGTGCATTATTGTCTAAGATGCACTTTTGGCAAATAATTTCAATTGATCTAAATACATTTTGTAAGTTGTTTTCTTTTGTGTGTGCTTTTAGTCAGAGAAGTGCAAATACCAAAGAAAAACAACATTTCATGTGAACTAGATTAGTTTGCCTCAGAATGCAAACCTGACTAATTTCTTCCACATTTGTATAAACAGGCAAATATTTTCTTTGGGGACATTTATTAAGTTTCTAATAGCTGCATGCAGAACTCTCTTACTTCTCTGTCAGACTGTTGCCTTTAAAAAAATTCCCCTTAAAATTGCAAACATAAGTATTCACACATGCTACCAGTTCATCTGCTATTCTCTAAAGTAGTATAGAATATTATGGCCCCATTTTCCCTAACTTGATACAGCAAACCTGCTGTTATTTGAAGGAATGGCACAATTTCAATCCTGGTCATGATATTAAATCAAGAAGCTAAGAGCAATATGCTAAAATATGATGGAGAATCAAATAGACTTTTGTACCTCCAGATGCTTTTCATTTCATGAGATGCACATTTGAAGGTGTAGCCCAGGTTTTTCTCTGCAATCACAAAGGCTAAAAAGGTATTCTTTACTACTGACATGGGCTGTCATGACTCCTATGAATTACAAAATTTTCCCTGCAGAATGTTTCTACATGTTTCTCAAACAGCAGCAGTGTCAATGGACAGTAAGGTCTCTTTCACACCATATGATTATACTACTTTCTAGCTCAGTCCTTCTCAACGTGGGGATCGGACCCCTGGGGGGGGGGTCATGAGGGGATGTCAGAGGGGCCGCAAAAGACCATTAGAAAACACAATATTTTCTGTTGGTCATGGGAGTTCTGTGTGGGAAGTTTGGCCCAATTTTATCATTGGTGAGGTTCAGATTGCTCTTTGATTGTAGGTGAACTATACATCCCAGCAACTACAACTCTCAAATGTTCACCAGTGTTCACATTTGGGAAGAATGAGTATTTGTGCCAAGTTTGGTACAAATCCATCATTGTTTGAGTCCACAGTACTCTCTGGATGTAGGTGAATTACAACTCCAAAACTCAAGGTCAATGACCACCAAACCTTCCCAGTATTTTCTGTTGGTCATGGGAGTTCTGTGTGCCAAGTTTAGTTCAATTCAATCGTTGGTGGAGTTCCAAATGCCTTTTGATTGTAGGTGAACTATAAATCCCTGCAACAACTCTCAAATGGCAAAATCAATTTCTCCAACCCCACCAGTATTCAAATATGGGCATATCGGGTATTGTTGCCAAATTTGGTCCAGTGAATCGTTACATACATCCTGCATATCAGATATTTACATTATGATTGATAACAGTAGCAAAATTACAGTTATGAAGAAGCAATGAAAATAATTTTATGGTTGGGGGTCACCACAACTTGAGGAACTGTATTAAAGAGTCTTGGCATTAGGAAGGTTGAGAACCACCGTTCTAGTTGCTATAGCTCCACTCTGTAGCATTCTGGGATTTGAGGTTTTGTGAGATATTTCAATTCACTGTCAGAGAGCTCTGTACCTCACCAGACTACAGTTCCCAAGACATCATAGGCTGAAGCCCTGGTAGTTAAAGAGGGATCTAAATATTATAATTATGTGACATGAAAGGAACTGAAGTGTTGAGAAAGTCCTTTGCTGTGGAGTTCCAGAAATCTAAATAGTGACAGGATATCATTTTTCACTCTCAATAACCTACTGAGACCCAGATTAAGGTATATCCTTGTTGCACAATTACAGCAGTTTGATACTTCTTTAACTGCCACAATTCCATCTTCTGGTATTCAAGGATTTGTAGTTTCATTTTGTGTGTCATCAAGTCATTTCTGACTTACAGTAACTCTAAGACAAACCTAATTTAGGGTTTTCTTGGAATGATTTGCTCAGAGGTGTTTGTCTTGGTCAAAGAAAACAATATTTTATATGTTTGCTTCCTCAGAATAGATAACTCTTGGAAAGGAAGACAGACACTGAGGGTGTATCTGTCTTGTGGAATAAATGCAGTTTGATACCACTTTAACTGCAATGGTTCATTGCTGTGAAATCCTGGGAATTGTCGTTTGGTGTCAACAAAACATTTGTTGTCAGAACAGGCTAAGGCTTCCATCGATGTTGCCTTTGAAAAATCCTGCAAATATCTTGGGAAGACAGGCAGACAAACATTAGTGTTTTGGATAAAGCAAAAACGAGTAACATTGAAATGATGATCTTCTGCCATCAACTTAATGGAATCAGCCACATTGTCTGAATGCCTGATTTCATTCTCCCAAAGTAGTTACTTGATTCGCAGCTCAAGAACAGAAAATGTCGGTGGAGAGCAAAAATAAATAAATAAATAAATAAATAAAGATGGGCTTAAAGCTAACCGTAAAGAATGCGACATAAACACCGAGAACTGAGAATCCCTGGCACTCAAGTGCTGTAATCTAGAGTCCAGTTGTTACCAATAGTGTTTTGGATTTTGAAGAGGGATGAATAGAAGGCAAAAGGGAGAATTGTGTCAAGAGGAAGACGCATCAAGCAAACTCTTGTTGGGTCCACCTTCTATTTGGAAATGTATGTCCTCACTACGGAAGACCACGTGGATCCAGAATAGGTCTCTACAGTCACTTATGGACCCACCACCAAGACTCTACCCTTGGAAAGCAATCATACTCAGCCACAAGTAATCGCCAATGATGATGAATTCCATAGCATTGATCATTTAGTTAAAGTGATGTCCAACTGCATCCATTCTATAGTATAAATACAACCTGTGATTATAGTTTGGAAAACATGAAAGGAAGACTTGTAACAACAAAACAAAATGAATGGACTATTTCTTAGAACACAGTTGTTGTGGCCTCAGGGGCACATTTTCTTCATTTGCTTCATCTCTTTATTAGCCACACAATAATGTTTAATTTGGAGTTCGAAAATCAGTCACGCCCAAGCAATAATTCAGCATTATCCTCTGGTTTCAGAAAGAACATAAATCCATAGCTTACCTATATGGTGGCATATCCATGTCCAGATGGCCCTAACTTTTTCCAAATCAGTATGTGCAACACGGAGCAAGGTTTTCACTAGCTCTTCCACACTATCCTTGGCAGTCACCTGTATTGCAAGGCGAAAATAAGGTGGTTGGTTTGAATTAGACAACACAGTGGATTTAAACTAGCCGTACACATTCCCCACATATGCATAGTTTTAAATTATGTTAACTATTTAAATTATGTTAACTGTTTTAAATTATCTTGTTCTAAAGTACTAAATAGGCTTTAAGTCTGTTTAAAATATTTTCACTATTTTAAATTTGTTGAGTTGATTTTACTGGATGTCACCTTGTCATCACAGCACTGAATTTTGGCAGAACAAGCTGTAACTTCAGTAAGTGGTGCTGGAGTCCCTGGTGGTGCAATGGGTTAAACCCTTGTGACAGCAGGACTGCCAACCAACAGGTCAGTGGTTCGAATACAGGGAGACTGGGTTGAGCTCCCTCTGTCAGCTCTAGCTCCCAATGTGGGGACATGAGAGAAGCCTCCCACATAAAAAGTAATTGGTGCCTCCAGAATTGCCATATTCATTTGAAACAAGGCATTCAAAGAAAAATTGCCTCATTGCTTACCATGGCCAATGGTGAAGGATCCTGGGAGTCACTGTTCCAAACATCTCAAAAGTACTAAGTTGGGAAAGGTTAATAAGTTTTTCATCAGTTTGGCCAAGCCATTTTTAAAATAGAATAACTCCTTTACAAGCTTTACAGATACTACTGGGTAGGATTACTCTCCCTTATTCTGTCAATCATCTTTGGACATGTACAGGCACTAACTAGTGATGATAATTAGATTCTACTTAAATTGTTCCCTTTCTCTTTGTATGGTTGTAATCAGCTCAACCCTCAGGCCAAAGATTACATTTTATTACTGTAGAGTTTCCTTTGCCAGCCAATAAAGTGTGTGTTTCAAAGTTCTGGAAGCCACAGGACATTTCATCTTGGTCTGTGTAAAATATTTAGCAAGTTGTTTAAGATCAGAGCTGCCAATGAAATTCAACCTAAAGTGAAACTGGAGGCAAATTTTGGAATTACTCGTCCAATGAAACTTCTAGGGAATTTTGGGGGAAGGGTTTTTAAAAAGTATTCTGAGAATAGTCCTTGTGTTTTTGAAGGGGCTTTAAGCTGATGCTTAGTCTGTCAGCCCATTTTACCTACAGCAAATTTTGAAGCAAATTTGAAGAGTCTTTCTCATTAAAAAGTCTAGCAATTTCTCCCTTTCTAGAGAGTAGTAAAGCACATGATTTTCAGGCAAAAAGTTTCCAAGTTCAATTCCTAGCAACAAGTAATAAAGCATATGTAAGACCTCTGCCTGAGATAATGATGATTCAGTCATAAAATGACAATAACTTTCCAAACACTGTGCATTTCTGGTTCTTTGTGTTCTTCCAGGGAGCCAAGGGCTCAAAACTCCCAGTGATCCTGGGCATCTTGGCTGATGGATAATGCCAGAATGTGCTAATCTTGCTCTTTCCAATCCCAGGACAACAAAGGGATTGCACACTGTTCCGAACTGGAACAAAATGGGCAAGAGTAGGTTAGAAGAGCAAAGAGTTAGGCTATGGTTTTAATAAAACAAGCAAAACTTCATGGGAGGGGGTAGTATTTCCTGAATTAAGGCTACCATTCTATATAAACTTTGTGTAGAAAAACAGCATGACTTAAGCTATATTTGGGCATGATTGTGTATTTATTCAATACATGCTGAAAGGTGATTTGTTAGTCCTGCCCCCTCCATCTCTGTTATATTCTGTGCATGGAGAGTCATGGTATGAACCAAATTGTTTTTGCTATCCATGCAGTTTCTCCACATGAACCAGAACTTTAACATTCCAATAAACACAAAGAGCTCCCCAATTTAGATATAATCATGTTTCATGCATCGCTTCTCGGCCTTTTGGCTAAGATCAAGTGTAGTATGTTTCATGCATAGAGGGTGACAGAAGTGATAACAAAAAAGGGGGTGTAGGCTCATGTACCCCTCTTCTATGCAGGCTGAGTAAACATACCTCCAGTAATGCCTAAATAGGACTCTACAGGCAACCATAGGTTTACACTTTGAGGTTTTTTTTTCAAGCAGCCTATATCTCTGTGGAAATTCAGTTTCCAGTGTGTTTCCAATTCACATATACAATTATGTGCCTTGGGTCCCATACTGGGAGAAAGGTTGGGTATAAATAAAATACAAATCAACAAACAATAAATACAAAATGTTGGAGGCTGCAGAATCTATTTTGCACAGTTTCCTCAATCCACAAGCATATTCCCAGGTTCCACAATACATAACAAAATCATGCTAAAGGACAACTGTCAAGGCTTCCTTGCTTAAGTAAATGGTTTAAAAACATTGACACTATATAGTAGGATAAATTATATCCATCTGAGGTCTTTTAGAAATAGTGGGAACTCAATTTAATTTCATGATGCAATATTTTCATATTTTTTTACCTTTTTTGCATATGCATCTAATTTCTCAAACTGCTTCAGGTCAAAAGGCATGGATTTCAGGCACAACCTGTCCCATGGATAAGCTGGAAATAGACATGTAATCAGGTTAGCCAACTGGATCAGTCCAAAAGCCTCACTAACATGTCTTCTGCACAATGGTTACAGTGAAGGAGTTCTGTCCTCTTTTACGTCTTTACATCAGTCACCCTTCCCCCAGAACAATCATTCTGGAAAAGAAAGTACACCTCTAAACCAGATCTACTCCAGGAATCAAATTGTTGTGAAGCTTACAACAATTTGCTCCTGCTTCCTTGCTCAATTGATCAACTCAAAAACCCAATAGCAATAATGGGGTATAAGATCTATAAAGTTTATTCTAACTACTCTCAAATGTGTAGGAGTCCTGTATTCTTTTGCACCAATCTGCTCTCATTTGTTGATATGCCTTGTCAATGTCCACCTTCCTAAGTACCTGTTTCTACACAACTGTTAAAAGATGTAGCAATCCTAACCAGGGGTGGCTCAACCCATTACGCAAAGTAAGCATTTGCAGTATAGTTGATTTTGCCCAGGGGCGCTCTTGAGGCACTCTTGGGGGAAAATAGACCTTGACGTATGCGAGTTGTAGTTACTGGGATGTATAGTTCACCTACAATCAAAGAGCATTCTGAACTCCACCAGTGATGGAATTGAACCAAATATGGCACACAGAACTCCCACGACGAACAGAAAATATATATCAGTGATTGGTTGGGGGGGGGGGGGGGGGGGCACCAAAATACTGTTTGCTTACCGTTGAAAATTACCTAGGGCTGCCTCTGATCCTAACACACTTTTAGCACTTTGCTACTAACATATAAATTGTCCTAAATTGTTTTATTTTTGATATGTCACCCTGAGACCCTCAGATGTAAGATATGCTATAAATATTTTAGTTAGATAAATAAATAGATACACATTTGCTCAGATCTAGTAAGCCTGGATGTCTTGATGGACTGTGAAAGATCAGATCTGGAGATTAGTTTTGCATTGAGTTCTCATTAATACCTGATCAGTGTATGCCCTTTTCTGGCAAGACAGCCCAGCATTGAGGAAATCCTCCAGATGGACTGCAATCACTTATATTAGCCAGGTGGGTTGATAAACACTGTAGTCCAAAAATATTCAAGCGATCACATGTCTTCCAACTGAACTGAAGCACATCTCAGTTAAATAATCTGATATTCCAAATGGGTCTTTATGGCTCAAAGATTGTCCTGGTATAGTCACATGTGTTGTACCATTCCTGAGTTTAAAACCAGGGAGCACACAAGCCTTCCTTGTACTTTCTCTTGTAGCGGAACTGCTGGGGTACAAGCCAGACACAGCTGAAAGAAACTTCAATGCCAAAAGCCTGGCTTTCAGAATGCTACAGTTTGGTTCAACCTCATTCCCAGACTGTGATAAGTGAAGTAGCAACCAGAGACAAGAGCTGGTGTGCTGTCACCTAATGTACTGAGCAGCCATCTGTCTGTCTCAAACCAGCACTCAAGCATAAGGCATCTGTCTTTTTAACAGGCTTGTTTGTTTATCTGGCCTTTTGCTGAAGAGGGCTATTACAGTGACCTAAAGAGAACTAAAGCAGATTTACGCACTTAAAAGGTTCTCGCTCTATACAGCTCAGAAAATTACTTTTTGCCATTTGGGAGCTGGGTAGTTTCTTCAAATTGGTGATCAGTTTTAGTCTTTGTCAGGCTATAACCAGAAAGGCTCCCTACAGCTACAGAATGCACAATAACTCTCATGGTCGTACACTGTTGCTATTAGTAGCTTGAATTGTGTACCAGGTTGTTGGTACGTTGCTTTAATTTGAGCAAGGCAATATTTAAAGAAGTCTAACACTTGTAGATGTGACTGCCCTTATTTCAGTTACTGAACTGGAAGCCAATCTTAAATGTGGTACACTTGGCTAAAACAGCTGCTCATTCCTTTCTGAAGAGAAATAGTAATGCAGTGGAGAGATCAGGCAATAGTAATATACATCTTCCTGCTGGCTAATCAACACATAATAGGTTCATCTCTACTATGGTTATTGCCTTTGATACTCATATTTCCAATGGTGGAAATCATGTGACCCTCCAGACACTACATATCCTTCAATTATCCCAACTGGGCAAGGACAATCTCAATTAATCCTCTGCCATCCCACTTTTCCAGCTGCTTTTAAAATGCCCCAGTTTCTCTCTCCTGCTTTCACTTCTCCCATTTGTCTTCAGATTATTTAAATTACAAACTGAGTTCAAATTGCAAAAAATAGTTTACACTCATGCCCAAGACATGCTTCTGTACAACACCCCTGGCTCAGTTAATTTCCATTGATAGTGACAGTCAGCTAGATTCAGCTCTTACTGGTGCCTTATTTGGCTGAATCAGTGGAATTGACAGAAGTATTGGCTACCAACCGTCAAAAACAACAACAACAAAACAAACCCCAAACAAACAAAAAACAAAAAACACCCTATGAAATCCAAGGGGTCACCATAAATTGTCAGGCAACCTGAAAGCACATACATCATATGCATTAAATACTGACATTTTGTAATAACTTGCCATATCCTTTTACTTTAAGTATATTTGATTTTGAATATTGTATTCCAGCTATAGTTACCATGTTGGTCTTTTAATCCAGGTGGACGGGTTCTCCGTTTTCCATTCTCTTGAAAACCTGTGAAATTATAAAAAGAATGTGAGAAAAAGAGAGAGGAAAGTTTAAGATGGGGGAAAAGAATGGTTAGGAACCATGTTGGCCCTTCCTGGGAACCTGGGATAACTAAACCCCTACAATAAAATTTATTTTTCCTCAATGACCTCTGGATGAAATGGGGGGATTTATATGTATTTTTGGCTTTTTTTTGGGGGGGGGGGCTATATTAAGCACTAGCCTAGAAGAAGCCAATGTATAGGTCACTTCTATTTGGAAAAAAAGACTTCTTTGAGATATTTTTTTGTGTTTCAGGAGCAACTTGAGAAATTGCAAGTTGCTTCTGGTGTGAGAGAACTGGCCACCTGCAAGGACGTTGCCCAGGGGACACCTGGATGTTTTGATGTTTTACCATCCTAGTAGGAGGCTTCTCACATGCCCCCACATGGGGAGCTGGAGCTGACAGAGTGAGCTCATCCGCGCTCTCCCCGGATTCGAACCTCTGACCTGTCGGTCTTCAGTCCTGCTGGCACAAGGGTTTAACCCATTGCACCACCGAGGGATCCTTCAAGAGATAAATGAGATCTTTCCCAATACCCAAATTGCCAAATTCTGCATTCCTTAGGGGTATTTGAGAGGGGATAGGCACAGCATTTTTCAAGAAAACGGGCTCCTAAGGGACACAAAACATCCCAAGCAGCTGAATGTAATTCACAGACCCTATTGTTTCCACCCTGGTACCAGATAACTAATTGTTTCACTAGTAATAAACTGTTCAAGAGGCTATCACATCAATGTCCACCCTAACTTTTCCCTTTTAGTTTTTGCATGGGCGAAAAGGTATCCCAATATGTGTTGTAAAGATGTATATTGTTATGAATATACATGAGATTTCTCTTCTAATCTTCTTTTACTCTTATTCACAAATTTACAAAACTGCCATCTCAACTGGAAATGAGTATTGTTTCATACGAAGATGCCTTTTGCTTATTTGATACCTTTCTTTTGGCTTTAGTAAATCTAATTGCATAGAAAAAAAGCTGGAACAATTCTCTAATAACTAAAGACACAAAGTGAGCAGACCTGATAACTTGACAGCCTTCTCTCTTACAGTAAGTAGCATTCATCAGGACTACAGGGCGCTTTGGCAGCAGCATTTCCATGTGTACTGTGTGGCATGCTAGCTTTTAAATACTCTCCCCAAACCTGACACTTTAAATGATCCTCCCTGTAGCTGAAAAGATAAACTCTTTGGGGAGGTAGACATCTTAACTGTCTTTCTAATGTTTTGTTTAGAGTTTTGGAGCACCGAGAGCCAAATGTCACAGTTCTGCATGGCCTAGTTCATTCTGCATCACTCTTCAATGGCCTTGACAGTTCCATGATGGAATGATTTGCAGTTGACTATGTCTGCAATTGGTTGTTCCAGTCAGTACTGTTGTCAAACACGAGTATCTGTTTGATGGTGTGCATTCAATTACCTCTTGGTAAAAGAGATACTATTTGTGCAGCCTCGTGCACTCTTCCTCTTCTTTCCCCAAAGTATCCCTTTGTTCACCAAATACATATTCCTAATTAGAACTATCTATGTTCTATAAAGTATGCAGTCAAAAGTCAAAAGTCAGATATCGCTGCTTGCCTCGGTTGGAGAGAGGGAAGAGAAACAGTCCCTATCACTTTTTTTTGAGACACTTCCTTTATAGTCGATGATCAAACAATTCAAACAATATTGTGTTGACATCTTCTGTCTGGCAGACAAAAAACCTTTTGTTTGGTTGAATCATCCTTGTGTTTAGTCTGCAGCTGTATATCAGGATTTGGGAAAAGTGCAATAACTGAGAAATGGTCCTGTCCAACAACCATCTTATACTGGTGCAGAACATTGAAGTATTCTTGATTTGCATCTAGATATAATTCTTACAGCAGTCGTTTAAGACAATAGTTCTCAATCTTTGTTTCTCCAGAAGTTCTGGAATTCACTTCCCAGAAGCCCCCACCAGCATGGCCAATGGCTAGAGATTCTGGGAATGAAAACACAAAAGTCAGAAGAACCGAAGAGTATAAATTCCTAGACATTTCAGGTAAATATGGGTAGAGGGAAAACAGTTTTCCTTAAGATTGTTAAGAGAGTGTGTAGTAACAGACACAAAAGTCAAACAGGAGGCAGGTGGAAGGACTCCTTGTTCATTGTTCAACCTTTTGACCACTATTATCATGCTACATTGTTAAAGTGCTACTACTCCACTTTAAATCCTTATGGCTGCCTCCTATGGAATCTCAGGATTTTGAGTTTAGGGAGGGGTCTTTAAAATTCTCAGCCAGGTAGGCTGTGGTTTCATTAAACTACAAATCCCAGAATTCTACAGGAGGCAGCTGTTGGATTTGAAGTACAATATGAGCACTTTAACAGTGTCGTGTGATAATCTCAAAAATCTCACTAAGGACCTCATCACATTGATGAGTTCCCCTGGTCTGATTCACCAGTCTCCGTAGCAAATTGGCAGGACAGTGGGGCAATCCTGGCACTCCACTCCACACCACACCTCACCCACAGCAATGCTTCCCTATCCCCATCCCAGCATGGGGCTTCTTCCCACACTGGCCCCACTATTTTGAAGAGAACATGGGAAACCTCCTGTGTTCTGCCATGCTGTCAGGATGCTTTCTCCACAAAGCCACGCCGAAAGTTGCTGTACGTTGTGTGATGGGCTCCAAGGAGAAAGTGTCCTGACAACATCCTAGGATGCCAAAATCATCTTGTGTGATAAGGTGGTAAGTCTAATAGAATATAATTTGAAATTTTACATACCTTTTCCCAAAGAGAGTTTCTTGAATAACTGTGGGGTAGAATTTCTGCCATGTACCTCTACAGTCATATGGGTTCCTGCAACAAACAGGATATTTTAAAAGAGCTAGTTAGTCCTGAGAAAAGTAATTCCGTATGTGAATCAATCAATCAAACACTTTATTTATACCCCATTTTCCCCATAAGAGTGGAACTCAAGGCAGCTAAACATGTTGGTTGTATCCACTGCAGTGCAAGTACAAGATGCAAGTTTCCACCTTCTCTGCCCCGTTACACACCTTTATATACATGGGAAAACCTGAAGTCAATGAGGAAATGTTTGAGGCATGAGGCTGTAAACTAAAATAGACCCTTGAGGAAAGCCAAGTGCTTAGGTTAGCAGTTACAATTGTCCATACCACTGTATTTCTCATTTCTATGTATGCTTGTAAAAGTTAGTGGCAATGAAGGAAGCTGCTAGGAAGAAAACTCATTTGAAATGTGGTGCAAAAGGAGATTTCAAAAAAGACAAGATCCTAAAGCAAATCAATCTTGAACACTTTCTAGAAGCTAAGATTACTCAACAAACACTATTGTACTTTGGACATATCATGAGAAGACATGACTCACTGGAAAAAAAAACAATAATTATTGGGAAATTAGAAAGCAGTAGGAAAAGAGGTAGATCCCACTACAGGTGGTTTGACCAAAGCAAGGAAGCTAGGCCATGAGTTTGCAAGAGATAAGAAGAGCTGTTGTTGACATAGTAACTTGGAGGTCTCTCATTCATAGGGGTTGACATAAATCTAAGGACCTTATCACCTTAAGCCCCGATTCACCACGGACCATGGCAAATCTGGCAGGGCCTAGCAATGAGTGTGGAGAACCCATTGCCCCACTTCTCACATCACCTGCCTTCCCCCTCACCTCATCCCATGAGGGAAGCATCTCCTCCTGGCTTCCCCTAGTTGTTTTCAATGCAACAAAGGAAACCTCCTGTGTTGTTGCTGTTGCCACCTATGCAGATTTCACCCCTCTTCAGGCACGGAGCCCTGTTGGAAGTAGATCAACATTGTGTGATGGGAGCTGGTGAGCTCCGAGCCTGGAGAGGACTGAAATCAGCATTTTTGCCCATTTGATGAGGTGGGAACCCAATTTAACAGCAATTAACACCAAAAATAGCAGCAGCTTATGTAATAAGCAATGGGTGTAGTCATGAAAGCTTCATCCATCCATTTTCCCACTTCTTTCCTTCTGTTACTACAGCTTCCTATATTACATTTCAGGAAGTGGGAAAGCTTTTTGAGCAAAAAGGCTTCTGCTTGAACAGTTTCAAAGACATCTAGAAAATACCATGGCTGGAATTCAATATAAGATGTACACCTTTGTAAGTTGACTTACATGTCCAAGAAACAACACTGAACAGCTTCAAAATGTCTATATTCATCCAAAGGCTGATGCAACATGAAGATAGATGGGTGTTGATTGTACAACAGAAAACAATTCATATAGTGTTTTGAATGTTGGACTATGACACTACAAACCAGGATTCAAATCCATGCTCAGTCATGGAAACTCCCTGGGTGACACTGGACAAGTTACACTATCCCCCACCCCCTCAGAACAAGGCATGGCGGGAGGCTGGCTGCATGGCAGTACATTGGACTGGACGGACTTGTGGTCTCCTCCAATGCTATGATTCTATTGTTCTAACCCCTCGCTGTTAAGATTTAGGATTATCATACGTTGGAGATGACTTGAAGGTACATAACAACAACAAGCTGGTGGAGTGTCTGCTGCACAATGGCTCAATGAACAAAATTTGTCAGGAAGCAGACTAAGGACCTCATCACACTGATGAGTCCGCCCCCTCCCCCATCCTGTTTTGCCAGCAATCACTGGTGAACTGAAAGGCACGTGTGGCAACTTGCAGCAGGCCAGGCACCCTCCCTTCATTCCTGTATCACATGACAGAATCAAGGCAAGGCATGTTGGTACCCTGTCGCTTTCCCCATCAGATAAGGGAAAGTCTGGCAGAATTGAGGCAAGGCATGTTGGTGCTTCCTCTATTAAACAGGGGAAAGCATAATAACTGTGTGTAGCTCCGTTGGATCTACTCAAAAGATAGGAGACTCACCATAGTGGCGAGGAAGCTTCTTGCAATGCTTCCTCGCCACTTCTCCCACTGATGGGGCAAGGCTATGGCCTGCTTCATCTGATGGGAGACTTCCAGATCTGTAGCTGAAGAGGAGCCCCAGCATGTAAGGGGAAAAAACCGCTGTGTGATGAGCAGGTTAGAAATTTTGGAGCACAAAAAGGGTGCCCAATGCACAATATAATTGCCTGATTACCACCATAGCATTATTGTCTAGATGCACATTTTTGCAATTCACTAACAGAGGTTTGGCTGCATTTCACCAAAGTAGCTGCACATTTGTAAAGTTATGAAATGTGGAACGTGATGTAGAATCCTGGCCCATTTTTGCAGAATACCATCTCTCTTTTGCTTTTAAATACTTCAAAAACTCAGCTCCTCTGTTTTTTTCTCCTTCTTTTTGATCTCTACTCCCTGCTGTTCATTCGCCTGTCCATCACTTTGATACTGGAAGACAAAGTATGACTCTTTATCATCTAATTCCACACATGACTATGCTACCATCATGCATGCTCTCTCAATAAAAGCTATCTATCACAATCTAGTTCACATTTCTCACACTATCTTAGAAGGGGCCACGAGGGACTAGGCAGCATTCCTGAAGTCAAGGCATATTATAAAAGTTGTGTCTCTCTAGTGTTTGATATCATCTTGTCAAATAGAGAAATTTGGCTGGAAGCCTCTGGGCATTTCCAGATGTACAATATGATTTTCTGTAACCTCTTTACAGGCAATGAAGTTAAATAACTGCTTCCCCCCACACATTCTTCTTCTATTAAAGAAGCAAATCCTGCCTGCCTGCCTCCTTCCCCTCCTTTTTCTGTAGTTTAGCTTTTCCCACATTTATAATAAGAGTGAACCAGGGAGGTCCACTGAATGAAACATGCAGAATAATCACAGGATGTCTCAAAGCTACACCTGTTAATAGACTCTACAAGCTAGCTGGCATTGCCCCCCCCCTCCAATGTGTGATGGGAAGTTGGTGCTAACTGTGAGAGAAATAAGGTTGAACACTCAGAAAAGCCACCCACTGAATGGCTATCAGCCTCCTCCCAGTAGATTCRAATCTATGAAGGAAAAGCTTCATGAGAACCACAACTCCTCTTAATGTTCTCCCAGCAACAGCAAGAGCATTGCTCTGGGAAGCTAAACCAGGAATTCCCAATTGGATGCCCCCTTCCCCTGCCCACATGAGTGTCTTCCTCCAGGGGCAAACCAAGGATGGGCAACTTGGAAGTCCCTGGACAGACTCAGAAGTGGAGTGGGCAGAACAAAAGACAACCTGGTAAAATGAAACTACCTAAAAGAATCCTCCACCTTGTGTGACTGTGGAGCAGAACAAACAACTCTGCACCTGTATGCTTGTCAACAACACCCTGCCTCATACAGAGGAAAAATTGTTTAATGCTACAGACAATGTGGTCACTATCGCCTGGTTTTGGTCAAAAATTATTTAGCCACTTGTGCTTCTTCTATTTTTATCAGTTTTTATACTTATGTATACAATGTTTTTAACAGGAAATAAAACCTGGAGAGGTGCACTGTCCACCCTAAAAAATTGTACCCACCCTGTATTATGGCTTGTTGAAAAATGTGTTTTGCTTACAAAGAGATGATAGCACTCAGGGAAGGGGACTTCTGCCCATTTTGCCACATTTTGACCTCATTTTAGACCTTTTAGAGGAATTCATTCACAAGAAGATACCCAGCAAGGCTGTTCCTTTCTTATGTTAAATTTTACCACATGTGGTGGACATGCACATATCTCCCTTAGAAGAATGGGAAAATACATTACAGATTTGCTGATAATGGATAAAATAACTGTACTATTAAGAGGAGAACTATTAGAGAACTTTGTTAATGAATGGCAACCTATGATTCAACATCTGAATGTAAAATTAAACTAAAAATGAGCATAGGGGATCCTATAAGACTGTAGACAAGGAAGAAGTGGATATTAATTTAGAGCCTATGTTACCTTTATATGTACTATTTAAATAGAAGACTGTGACCCCTTAAAGAAAATTTATTTTCTGAGAAATGATTATGGAACACTAATAACTGGAAGATATTGCACTGTATGCAATAAACACTTACAAATGTATGTCTATTTGAATAAATAAATAAATCTTTAAAAATAGAGAAAGGGAGGAAAGGGGCACAAAATAATGAGCTGAATCACTGGGATAATCTCAGTTGGACTCATGTAGAGAAACTTGAATCTGTTGCAAACTTTGATTCACAGGATTGGATTTACAACCTGTGATTGACATAGTCCTCCATGCGGAACATGAACTTGATATGATATTGGACTCACAAACCTTAATTATAAGAGATATGCCTTCTATGAGTATGTTTGTTTGTAATACTTTTGGATTCTGCTTCAGGAATCATTTGCCTTTCCCGTGTAAGGAAGATTTTGTGTTAAGATACTTGTATTTTGAATAATTCTGTAGTATACTTTGAACTTCGACAAGCTTTGTTTGTACATTGAATGCTCTATGAGTATAATATATACATGAAAAACATTCTTATGGTTTATATTATTGGATTATATTATTGTTTATAGTGGCCTCTTGCCCACATGCAAATATAACATTTAAATAAGTGTGTGTGCTTGCCATTAGCATGAAATTTTGTATAGTCTTGACCACATAGAATTAGAGAATTATATGGTCAGTAATAAGCTACAGACGCTGGTATTTTTTTAAAAAACAAACAAACTTCTTAACACATCTACATACAGTACATGCTTTTTCAGGAAACGTTTTAATTTATATTTACATACACTGGCAGATTTGTGCAGATTAAAATATCTTATCAAAATGGTCTTGAGAAGGGACTGCCTGTCACCCACAGGCTCCAATTTAAAAAATTACTTGTTTACAATCATGCGTACAATGTTACTTCTTTAAAAAATAAAGCTGGTGGAAAATGCCATGAAATGGAAATGAATGAATCTTTAAAGGTCTGTCACCAAATGGGAAAAAGAATAAAGGGCAGTGGTTATATTTAGTGATTTAGTAACTGCCCTTTATTCCTTTGCATTTAAAAATGTTTGCATTTGAATTTGAAAATGTTTGATTTATTGATCGTATGCCAGAGATCAGAAGATGTTGGAAATGGGGAAAGAATGGAGTGTTGCATGAATGCTGATCAATGGGATGTTTTAGGTGGTTTCCAAGCCAGCTAATGTATGACAGCTGGGCTTTCAGAATGAGAGAAATTTGTAGATTTGAAAAGAGTGCAATAAGACAAAATATAGTTTATAAGGGATTTGAGTTAGGCTATGGGTGGAGAGAGTGTAAGGAATTTGAACACATTGATTGCTAAGGGTCTGATTTTAGCTTAGTGAGGGGTGCTTTGATGTGTTATATTTTCTTCTGTGTTATGTTTTACTTCTGCAAATAAAGTCTTTATACACTTTTGGTCTACTGAAATGCTATTATTCTTTGAGCTTGGATTCAGACAAGGTATCTATAGTAGGCTTGTACATTTCGGGTGAATAGCTATCTGTTTCTGCTTTCCAGATACTGGAAGCCCCCATATCAATTTTTCAGTCCCTCCCAAAAACAGGTGTTCTGCTGAGTGGGTGTTTTCATTCCACATCTGAAAAAAAGTGGCTCTTTTCGGCCCATTGGTGGTAATGGGGAACTGAGAAGGCTCCCCTTTCCCCTGGGAGCCTTTCTTTTCTTCCCTTCAAGGAAGCCTGGGTGTCAGTAAAAGGGTTAAGAAAGCACCTATCCAGCCCATTATGAGCCACATATATCCTTCATTAAGACCTGAATTTTAAAAGGTATCAGTTCCCACTCTTAAGTTTCTGGACCATTTCCCTTCTGTTTGTAGAGGAGGAGACTGGGTTTAATGCTTCTTAAAGCTGTTCTACTCTAGAGGAGAGGAAGGTGCACATGCTTTCCCAGCAACAGCACCATGCCATATAGCTTTCCAAGACATTTTAAGGAGTAGCAGGAAAGGAAGAGTGATGACATGGAGCTCAGTGGAGCTATCCTCCCTGGACTACCTTAAAAATCCCCTCTCTTGTCTGCAAGGCTGCAATCTCCTTTTTGCTTGGGGCTTTGCTTCCATAATGCTGTTTCTTTCTAATCTACAGGAGAGGCAGGTGTCTCTTTTGTTTGCTGGGATTACTATTATTATTATTAATTATTATTATCCTTTTGAATTATTTTCTGAAAGAGAGGAAGGGAAGGAGAAAAAGAAGCTAAAAGAGTTACTCTCCAAGTCAAACGTACGTAAGCACACATCACACCCTCCATCCCTCAGGCTCCCAACTCCCAGTCAGTCTCACTAAATAAAAAGAAGCAGGAAAATAAAGGAAAATAAAAAAGATTCAACTGTGATGCTGAATAGGGGAGGAGGGGCCGAGATAGGCTTCCTCTGGCTTTTGTTGCAGGAGGGGGTCCTTACCATTATGTGTTCTCAGAGGTTCCGAAGGAAATGGAAGAAAACAAATCCACACAGAAGTCTAATCTATAGTGGCAACAATACATTTAGAGGAACTGTATCCCTTGAAAAGTTGCAAAATCCTCACAAGGACCTTCAGGGCATTTTGACAGTCACTGAAGTGAGCATACACAGTTGGGACAAGTTTTTACATTGTGGTAGAGTTGGGGATCAGGAAAGCCCTCACTCTTGATATTTGTAGTAAGGACTGAGAAGTCTCCCCATTTGGCCACAATGGTGAAATTATGTGAGAAGGATGCTCACAGTTCCTGGCACTTGGTATATATAGTGGTGGGATACAAGAGGAAATCCCCCTCTAGACACTGTTATGACTTTTAAAAATCACAAGAACATAGAATGCTGCCTCAACACTAAGTGAGACCATAAATCCATCTAAGATCAATAATACCTACATCACTCTTTCTCAACATGGCGCCCTTCGGAATTTGTTGACTGACGATAGTGGAAACATAGTCCATACATAGATAGGACAACAGAATGGGAAAACCTGGTTTATTTTGTCTGAATTTCAGATATAAACCAGGATTCTGCATAGGGTTTTTATATTAAGTGTTTGATTATTTTTAAGTGTATACTTTTAATTTGTTTTACCATGGTGAATATTTAGTTCTATTTTAATTTTGATGTTTTTGGTACTGTAATAGTTTGAATTTATAAATTGCCTTGTGTCCCAATCCTGGGGTAAGGGTGAGATATAAATAAAGATAACAATAAAAATATCTGCATATGAATATATGTTATCTTTGTGTTAAATGGCAATAGTCTACAATCAAATGTACCACTGAATATGACTTGCCCAAGGTAATCCAATGGGTTTCCATAGCTTAGTTAGAATTTGAACCCTGTGTTTTAGAGTCATGGTCCAGTACTGAAACCACTGCACCATGCTGGCTCTCGCTAACCAAGGAAGTACTACTGCCAGTTTTAGCAGAAGCAGACATAAATGCATTGGCTGAAAATCAGCATCCCTATGCACAATGGCACTGCAACTCCAATCTCATGACCCTGAATTAATTGTGGATGTTATACATGAGACAAAAATCATATGGAAATGTATGCATGAGTAACACCCCAATTCAATTCAAGCCATGATTTCCAGGTATGAGGTTTCCTGGGATTCCTTGGGAGAGGCCAAGGAGAGGCCCTTTGACGTGGAAATGTGCTTTATTGCAGTTTAGCAACAATGCTACTATTGCAAAAAGCTGGAAAAAAAAAACCAAAACATTTTTATCACAATCCATTCTGAGGAATATTTGTAACTGGCTTGGCCTGGAGCCCCCCGCTACCTCCCCCATCTGTTTGGCTCTCACCCAGTGAGAGATCACATTCATAGATTATTGTCATAGTGTGTCTTCTCGCTTCTGGATTTTATTTGACCTCAGAGACTGATTGTCCCCTGAAAAACCTTGGGCCTGCTGACTCCAATAATGCCCAAGCACGGTTATAACGATTTTCCAAAAAACATTTATGATTTCAAAGTCATAAAACAGTGGAAACATACCTTGGGCTGAACAGGAAGTAATGACTTGCTGCATCCGAACTGCAGAGCCTGGAGATGGAAAGGAAACAGTAAAGTGACAAAGAGGTTTTGATACTCTGATGACCATATCTGTCCCGAGAAAGTAAGTTAAATAAAAACAAGTGGAGTCAGAAATGCTGCCTCCATTTTATATTTTTCTTTCCTAATTGAAACAGCTGCAATACTATTTCTGTAACAATTTGGATTGTGATTTTTACTGTAGGAATACTGACTGCTTCACAGTGTCAGACTTTGTAAGTATAGTATCACAGTGAAATTGATTTGCTGACACCTCCGTGTTTACTATGAGGAAATTCAGGAAATTCATTATGCAACTACAGATTATCCATAGATACCTAAGAGGTGGCAGATCCAATGGTTAAACTTTCTACACTTTGGGAATCTCAAGGTTGGACTTCTATACAATGTGCTGTACATTGGGATACCTCTGTACTAAGTTTATAAACGCCAATTAGTTCAAAATATGGCAGCCAGATTGGTTACAGGAACATCTAGGAGTGAGCATATCACATCCATACTAAAATCACTCCAGGGGTTTCCAAACAAAATACAAAGTGTTGGTTATAACTTTTAAAATCCTACATGGTTTGGGTCCAGGTTACCTACAGGATTGCTTTCCCATGCACAATCTGCCTCTTAGGACACTGAGGTCTTCTGGGGGATGCTTACTTTAACCAGCTGGAATCTGACTGGCAACCATCACCCAGAGAACCTTTTCACTAGCCACCCCACAACTGTAGAATGACCTGTCAGAAGAGCTTCGATAACTAAATGAACTATCAGAATTTAAGACCAATCTCTTTCAGCAGGCCTACCCAGTCAACTTTGAATTTCTATTGAACTTTGCATTATGTTGTCACTGTATGTTGATCTTTGTATCATATGTTTTGATGTATGTTTTTATAATTGTGTGTTTGAAATATGTGCTTTATTATATGTTTTTAATGATATATTTTGCCTTTGTTGCAACCCACCTCAAGTTATTAGGGGATAACAATAACAACAACAACAACAACAACAACAACCCTAAACGGTTCTGGCCCAACCTACCTATCCGAACGTATCTCAGCCTATCAGCCCACCAGGACCCTAAGATCTTCTGGGGAGGCCCTGCTCTCTATCCCGCCTGCTTCACAGGTGCGGCTGGCGGGAACGAGAGACAGGGCCTTTTCTGTGGTGGCCCCTCGGCTATGGAACGCCCTTCCCATGGAGGTAAGATCAGCCCCCTCGCTGATGGTGTTCCGAAGAAGATTAAAAACCTGGATGTTCGAACAGGCATTTGGTTAATCGGTGCAATGAATGTGATGATTACAGGATTGGTAATATGGACGACGAAACTGGATCACGATTTTAGTCATGAGATGCATTGGATTGTTATTGTTGTGCCAATATTGTGTATTATGCTTTTATGGTTTTAAATTGTATATTGTTGACTGTTGTATCTTGTTGTAAACCGCGTTGAGTCGCCAGCTAGGCTGAGAAACTGCGGTATACAAGTAAAGTAAATAAATAAATAAATAAATAAACAACAATAACAATAATGAAAATGTCTTATCCAGAATCCTGGGTAATATGTCTTGCATAAAATAAAGAACAGAATGACTCCAAGATTAACAGGACCTTGAGAGGTGGGGAATCTTTAGGTCTTGTAGTTCAACTCCTATTGACTTCACTTAGCAACCAAGCCAATTGTAAACAGATTATGGAGCTAGTGCTCCCTCTGGTGCCAGTGCTTCTTTGTGGCCAATTCTTAACTCAACATGCTGCTAGTATATATAAACAAAACCTGAGTTTAGTGATGTTCTTAACTCAAAATGCTCTTAAATTGAGATGTCCTTAAGTCAGAACACCCTTAAGTCGAGGTTCCATTGTATACCTTAGTTGCTACTAAGTGGTATCAGAATGCAGTGTAAAACTTTATTTCTCACATGAAATACCAAAATGTATTAGAAAGTGACATACCATGAATGCCATTTACTTGGTATTGTTCTAGTTCGTTGTTTCCATTGCCATCCCCTTGGAAGCCTATAAACAGTAAATTATAGCATGACATTCCAAAAATCAATTTGAGCTTGCAGAAAAATAGCATACGCTACATCACTCTAAACTTTTAGCTTCAGAATGCAGATGGCAGAATTGTACATGCTGCTTAGAAGGAAAACCAGGTGAATATGTGTAGTACTACAATTCAACACACACACATATGCCCTGCGTGCTGCATAATATATGAGAACTGCAAGGGAAATCAGCCAGCAATGTTTGAGTGTTGGACTAGAACTGCAAGATCAAAGTTTGAATCTCTGCTCAGCCATGGAGACCCACTGGATGAACTTAGGCAAGTGACACTCTCCCAGCACCAAACAAAGACAATGAAAAATCCACTCTGAAAACAATAACAATAATTCATGATAAGATCATTTTAGAAACTGATGTCAATCAGGTTGGCATCACTCAGTGTGGTAACTCATGGTGTCAAGATTTCTAAAGTTAACATGGGAGATGTCTGTCCAAGATTGTTGTAGTATTCCTTCAAGTCAACTCTGACATCGGTCAAGCTTATACGTTTTTTCTTGGCAAGATTTATTCATGGGAGGTTGCCTTCCTTTTAGTATGAGACAGTCTGATCTGGGCAGGATCAGACTGTGGGTTTCCATGGCTAGATTTGCTCTCCCAGAGTCTGAGACCAAACCTAAGATCATTACACTACACTGGCTCTCCCATTTGAGGATCTGCTGTTAAGACTACCAAGATAAAGCCTAAGCATCTTGAACATTCTTCGAAAAATGCCAAAGATTTTACAAAACAATCACTGGAATTTCCCCTGTGATCTCCCCCAGTTCTCACTTCTCGGATTGGATCAAGACACATTGTGTAATGAGTAACAGGTAGAAAAACTATTCCCATTACATTGAAAAATAGTGAACTACCGTTGCTGTTTCAACTCATTGCAAAAAAGGGAACTATCTAAAAGAGTAAATTGCTAGAAAAATCAGTTATTTCCTAGCTCTGTTCTAAAATTTGTGCTTTAATTAATTAAGAGACTTTAAAAAGTCATTTATCATGTCACAAACGAGTTGAGGGTAACTTTTAAACTAAAAAAAATACATTTCAATTGTTTTCAGGTTGTTCTGTACCTTTTCGCTCTGCATCTGCTCATTTAAATAATACACAAGACCTTCCCAAAGGAGTGAACAAACCAAAGAGCTGGCCAGAAACAGAAACAAAAACAAAAATAAAAATCTCCCCAGGGTAACATCTGAAATGTGTCAGCTCAAGGGAAAAATCACTTTCCGTGTTTGGTTTCTGACCCCACCGCTGTGACTCTTCCTTGTTTGGCAACAAACACACAGCTGAGCGTGCTTTGATTGATCCTCCCTGCTGCAGCTGACCAGCACAGAACACAGAGAGCGATGAGAGAACAGACTGCTGATAGGGCACTGGGATTGTTTGATTCTGCAAATGAAGCATTTTCATGACAAATAATAGGCACAAATCAGCACAGAATAGACCATTTCTTTCTCTCTCAACTCCTATTCCCAAATCTGCCCAAATTTGCAGAAACTAAGAGGTGGGGACCAGGTTTAATGAGGTAGAGTGGCACTTTGAAGCCTGAACTTGGATGGAACCCTTTTTTTAACAACTATAGACTTTGGTCACATTTACTAAATTCCACTGAGTGCTACATTTAAAATCCAGGAAGCCATTATTCTCATCACATTAGTTTGGCTTAAAGTGTAGGATAGAGCATTCTTTGCGTATTTTAAGCATAGGGGACAGCGTTCTTTTCAAATGTTTTAGGAGACTGATGGGGAAGTAGATTTTTTATAATGATCTGGATGTTTGGCCAGTTCTCTAATGTGATGGCACTTGTTGCTCCCAGTACCCTTGTTAAGGAAAGCATTACCTTTTGCTCATCGGGTTTTTACTTTGCCAGAACAATTTCTTTTTTAAAATATAGTTTTTATGGGTCCTTCCCTTCCCTTTCCTTCTTGATATATCTGTGTCTTGTGTTGCATGGGAAAGCCAGGAGAGGAGGATTATTATTATGCCATGTCTCCATGCTGAACAGTCCTGGCAGTTATAGTTTCCTAAGGTCCATACCCTTCTCTTGAGTCATTTACACTGAAATGAATGCTCTTAAACCTCACTTTAAATACCATAGCTCCACACTATGCGGTTCTGGGAGTTATAGTTTCCCAAGCTCCAGTTTAACTATTAAATCCAGAGTACAACATCATTAGCCACAACCTTGTTGATATACTGCAATATTATCAATTGCACATTTTCCTAGATCAAACAGTGATGATGATGGAAGACAGAGTCTATCAGCTCTAAGTAACTTGTTTCTCTGATGCATTCCTTCCTTCATTCCTGCAACACCCATGGCTTCTCCTTTCCTGCTCTTGCCACCTGTGCCAATGCATTTATCTCCGCATAGAGCATCAACAGGAATCCACTAGATGTCTGCTACATCTTGAAGTTAAAATTCCAGGCCTGAAGCTTCTAATGTTGTATGTTTTGTGAAAGCATTTCCTTATTCACCAAAATGCACAGGCAAAGTCTAACCTTTTCTGTCTAAGGCATGGGCAAACTTTAGCCCTCCAGGTGTTTTGGACATTAACTCCCACAATTCCTAACAACAGGCTGGGATTTCTGGAAGTTGAAGTCCAAAACACCTAGAGGGCCACAGTTTGCCTATGCCTGCTCTAGATCATAATTCTGCTCCAAGGGCATCCTCCTCCACAGCTGGGATTAGCCATTCAGGGGAACCCTCAGACTTTCAAATGAGCAAGGCTCACTTCTGGTGCCAGAGATCAGCTGCAGGGAAAATTACACCGAAGGATACAGTGGGCCTTTGGTATCCACTGGGGTTTGGGTCCAGGAACCACCATAGATACCAAAATATGTGAATGTCCAATTCCCATTACAGGAAGTCCCCAAATTATGAACAAGATAGGTTCTGGGTTGTTGTAGGCTTTTGGGGCTGTATGGCCATGTTCTAGAAGCATTCACACCTGACATTTCACCTGCATCTATGGCAAGCATCCTCAGAGGTTGTGAGGATGCTTGCCACAGATGCAGGTGAAATGTCAGGAGAGAATGCTTCTAGAACATGGCCATACAGCCCAAAAAATCTTAGAATGTTTGCTCTAATGTACATCACACAGTTCAGTAGGGCTCACGTCAAACTCTTTATTGTGCTTCTAGGGCTGCTGTGTAGCTGTTGTATATAGGATATAGTTGTAGAATTGCTAATAATATCCTTATCTAGAATGATTGCATGGAGATCAAGGCAATGATTTAAAAGTATGCAGGTTGAGAGCTGACATGTGCATTAATTTTCAGTCACAGTGTAATTGTTCAGTTTTTGTTGGCAATTAAATAATTTGTCTCCCTGTCCTTATATCACATTAGTTAAGGCTATTTTTTAAAAATTGTTAACAGCCATGTGTGGTAATTTTCATTAAGGCTGTGGTGCATGTGGAAAATGGAAATTCTCCTTTCTCTTGCCAAAGTCAAAGCAAACCATCCTTTCTCTGCTGTGGAAGGTCGGCTACCTCTCTGTACTTAGAAATCCAATCCACACTGTTATAATCTCTGATCAGATACTGAGAAGAATCTTTCACAGGTACTGAGCAGAATCCACCACTACTAAATACTGCACAGTATTATGGTACTGCATGCAAAACCGCAGGTTCTCCTTGGAGAACATTTGCCACAAGCCCCCAGACAAAAGTAAGGAATTTTCATGACAAACCAAATGTACAAAAAATGCCAGTCTTAGACATTTTCTGTAACATCTTTGATAACTCAGAGAACTACAGAAAATGTAATGTACTTATACTTAGGATGCTGGTTTGATTCTGGCTCAGGTATGAAAACCAGGAAGTTGAAATGCTCAGACAAGGACTTGGGAGATTGAAGGTCAAATCTCTACTCAGCTATTCAGACTGATGGAGAAATATGGACCAATCATTTTCTTTCAAACTCACCTACCTCGAAGTTTTGTTGATCAGGTAGAAATGTGTGGAGGGGAGACAACTGTATATACTTCCCTGGATTCCTTGCAAAAAGGGTATACATACAGGTTGAGTGTCCCTTATCCTAAAAAGCTTGGGGGCAGAAATGCTTTTGATTTTGGATTTCCCTCATAATTGGAATAATTATTATTTGCATATGTATATACATAATGAGATATCTTGGAGCTGGAAACCAAGTCTAAACATGAAATTCATTTATGTTTCATATACATCTTATACACATAACGGGAAGGTAATTTTATACAATTTATTAAAGTAATTTTGTGCATGAAACCAATTTTGTGCACACCGAGTAATCAGAAAGCAAAGATGTCACTATCTCGGACATCAATGTGGACAATTTTGGAATAATGTGGGTTTCATAATTTTGGATAAGGGAAGCTCAACTTGTTTGCACTAAATAACAAAAAATGCCTGGTTTGCCCAATTGCAAGGCTAGATAGATAATCAAATCTTGGTAGTGTTGGTGATGATGACGATGTTGCTAATGTCATGCCTTTTGATGTATTCAATACAATGAAACGGAGGTACTTAAGTCATGTCTATAAGTGTTCACTCTGCATAATGTGATTCAGTTTTGGCTTTACTGTATTTATAAATGGCTCCATCCAACATTCCTTGTATTAATCACACACACATACACAGACACATTCAGACACACACAGATACAAGCATTTGTTCCCTTTGTTTATGATGTCAGCAAACTGGGGGTTGAGTGACAGAATCATTGTCTATTTCAGCCAACCTGCTCACTGGCTCTCCCTGCAGACTAAGGGCATTATGAATGGGACCAGAGGTTTCTTACCCTGCAAAACCTCACATTATGAACACTGGGCACAGCTCACCCTGATAATAATGAAGCACTGGGTTGTGCTTCATTTCTGTGTCCTGCTGCACAGGTTTACTCCCTGGGTACCACACAGGGATGTCTCCTCATTCTGCTTTGTATACATCATGCAAAAGCATTCACCCTTTCAAGTCTGATGGAAGGGAAATCATTTGAAAAGTTTTCAGAAGGAACAATGCAAAGGGTTTGTCCATGATCTGTTAAATTAGTGTGTGTATGTCTCTGTGTGTGATATACAAATGAGTATGTGTAAAAAAATCGTTGCTGTTATTTTCTTGATTTCCCCACTCTTTGTCCCGCTCCATTTAACACTTGCTCACTTGTCTAGTCTGCATATACTGCCCATCCCTGCAAGAGAAACTAACTACCCCATCATTCCGGATTTCTTTACCTTGGCTTTGGAGTGAAGTATGGCTCTCCATCTGTTTGTCTGTCTGCAACCTCTGCACAGTCTTCCTCTTCTCAGGCTGGACTATGAGAAGCATTTCTAGAGCTACCGGACTGGAATCTTTTTTAAACTCCATAGTACCCATCAGAACATTGCTTTTCTTCCTTTCTTCTCAAAGTGCCAGTTGCTGCTTACTGCTGCTGTTGCTGCTACCACTGCCAAGTACTGTGGATATTCCCCCCACCCGCACCCTTTGACAAGCAAGTACTTCCCCCCACCCAAATTACACACATGCACACAAACACACACACACACACAGACACAGACACAGAGAGCTTTTGGCTGACCCTACCAAAGACACTCTTTCGAGTGTCGTGCAGAAATTGTCCCTAATGAGTAGGTTACAAGTCACCTTTGAAAGGAAATCCCAGCAGGGATCCATTTCCTGAACCTGAGGAAGGGAACACATATCAAAAAGAGGCACACACACAAACGCACAGAGGGGTCTAGTTTCAGAACATGTTCTCTTTGAAACCCCCTCCCTTTCTGGCTGCCCTTTCAGCATTAAGCCCTTGCCCACATGTAAATCCCGCTAACACCACTGTTGCTCTCAGAGAATTTGCTTTGTGAAGCTCATACAGCCCCTAAAAGGACTTCTACTTGATTGCCAAACCCGATGTGGAAACCTAAAACAAGACTTGGTGTTGGGAGGGGAGTGGGGAGGAATCAATTATTGTAAGTGCAGCAAAAAGGACAGCAAGGACAGAAGGTGCACTTTGTGAATGAACATGTTTGGAACCACACTGTGTGGGTATTTGATAAAAAAAATGCGTAATTATTTTTGACAAGTAATGAGGTTGCCAAACACAATAATAATGTCTTTGCATTTCAAAAACACACAGTCTGTTTCTCCCACAAGGCACCCTCTTCTGCAACAATTTGTATGCATGATTCAATTTTTATTAGGGACCCTGGCAGAGAACATGTGATATGTGGCCATGTAGCTGGTTTTCTCCAATCTCTCGACCCTGAAATGGGGTTCAAGAAGAGGCATGGTTTAGCAGTTATGAGTGACCTACTTTAGTTAGGCACTGTGATGGGCAGAGTGTGTTGGCTTAAAAATCTTTTCTAAATATATCTTGAGCTTCCATTCTGTCATAGCTCGAGCTGGCAGATGAGCAATGTTTGGCTCATGGTGTCAGTAGGGATTGAAACACCTGTGGGGTAAAGCTATGTAGTTTCTGAACTTTTGCAGTTCTCATTCAACTGTTGAATGTGAGCCCACATGATTGATCACAGATTACCAAGGGTTTTAATGCTACCACCCCAGAGTTGTCAAGTATCAGTTACTGTTGGAGTCTGCAAGAGAGAAAAATTCCATGTGCCAATTCTGTGTGTTTCTAGGAAACCCACAGACAGACACGAGCTAAGTTTCTCCCTGTGTAGCTCCCCAGCAACTAGGACTCAATCAGAGATACAGAATCTGGAGCTTGCATGCAACTATCATGACTAGCAGATATCCCCCATTAATTTCTTTAGCTTCCATTGAACTAAAGAAGAACACCAGGCCTTAAATAGTTAAGGCCTGGTGTTCTTCTACACTACAAACATATATCACCATGATTCCATTGTAACTGACATGGCAGCATCTTCTGAAATCCTGGAGTTTGTACTTTGGGAAGATACCAGAGTTCTCTAGGTGGCAACTGTAAACAGCCCTACCCAAACCGCAGATTCCAGGATTCCATAGGGTGGAATCATGACAGTTAAAACGGAGTAATAGTAACGTATTTATGGAGGGCGAAAAAGCCCATTTTCATCACACTCTAAGGTGTAAGTTTAAAGGTCAATTAAAGTATGTTGGATAAAGAAGTCCTCCTTTAGTAGTCTCCCCTCTATCAGAGTTAACCCTACTAGAGTTAAACAGCTGCTTCAGTGAACTATGAATCCTTCAAGTTAGCCCACCATATTTCCTTAATCTATCCTGATATATGCATGAGTAAATGGCCCATGATTCTGCAGAATCTGCTCACTACTTGCCTGAATTAAACAGAGGGAGAGTAGCAGGAAGACACACTTCATTGTGCTTAGCTCAGCTGTTACTAACAGCCCTATGATATCTTGACCTTTCTACTGCCAGCTATCAGCAACTATTCTAGCAAGTACTGTACTTAATCCCTTCTCTACACCCACCTCCCTCCCTCCCTCCCCCATCCTTCCTTCCTTCCTTCCTTCCTTCCTTCCTTCCTTGTATATCATATCTTCAATTTGATTGCAAGGATCAGAACAAGATAGTCACACAATTATCAGTTACTTTAGATTCCTTTTTGGTCATATTTATAGTAAAACTACTATAAATGCTGTAAATAAATGAATGAATGAATATCATTTGGCTCTAACAATTTTGGTTACTTCTTTGTCCATTTTAAATAGTCCTGTTTCTAAAATACTTTCTTAAGATGAGAAAACCAGAGCTGTGTAGTATCCTAGAGATCGTTGTATTATTATTATTAATAATAATAATAATAATAAACCTTTATTAATATCACGCTACCATCTCCCGCAGGACTCGGTGTGGCTTACAAGAGGCCGAGCCCAAATACATCAATAAAACAACAACGACAACAATACAACAATAAATAAACTCATAAACAAAGCAAAAACAATAATAATAATATCATGACGCATTAAAAACCTGAGACAGGGCCAAATGTAATGGTTAAAATTATAAAAATGCTGGGCATGTCCAAGTGAAATAGGATAGATATTTTAGGGATAGGTGGGCGTGCAGACAATCCTAAATCTCTTGTAAAGTGCATTTGGGACACATTGCTTGGATTTCCTTATTCTGGGAAGGCACACTGGAACATCCACGTTTTCAAGCTCCTTCTAAAGACTGCTAGCGATGGGGCATGCCTGATATCCTTGGGGAGGGAGTTCCAGAGTCGAGGGGCCACCACCGAGAAGGCCCTGTTCCTCGTCCCCACCAATCGCGCTTGCAACGCAGGTGAGATCACGAGCAGGGCCTCTCCAGATGATCGAAGAGATCGTGTGGGTTCGTATACAGAAATGCGGTCACACAGGTAGACGGGTCCCAAACCATTTAGGGCTTTGTAGGTATAATCAGTCTTTATAAAGGCACGAAGTACCTGGCTTTATAAGAACTCTTACATTTTCATTATTATCAAAATGCTCATTCTCTTTCTCTTTCCCTGAGCTCGATTTCCTTCCCTTCCTCCCAGTGACATCATTAAGGGAGTGTGGAGGGTATGAACCACACTGGTGGCACTTTCAGAGAAGGTGACAGCCAAATGACTATAAAATTTGTGAGCAGTGTATTAGCAGAATTTTTAAAATAAAAATATCTCTATAAGTGGCAAAACATTTTCGTAAGCCCAGCTTATGTGTACTGTATCAATCTACCTATTACTCTAAAACTCAATACTTTACTTTTTGAACTGTACAATGTGCATTTTCTCTGACCAGGGCATCATTATTACCCAGGTACAGCAATGCTTCAAATCACACATATTCATCGTGCATAAACTATAAGCATGAAATGATTTTGTTGCTGCTGTTGTTTTTAGTCATCACTGATTTTGTCCAATTTTGCCAAGAGTATTGTGGTCCTCCCTGAGATGAGAAGAAGTTCATGGAGATGATACTATGAATTACTGAGTGACATCAATGTCAGTGACACCTTTGCTTCCTTCACTCTATTCCTTTCGATGGACTGTCACCTTGTCGTGGTGAGGGGGCTTGCGCGTTCCAATGAACCTGTAGGCACAACAACTGGAGTGTGCACTCCCAGGAGTGGCCGCGGGGGAGGTTCCAGACCAAGCACAGTCCGAAGACCCAAAGACCTCAACGGCGGAGCAGGCGGAGGATAACATGGCACATGTTACAACGGCTGTGAAGGCGGAAGAAGGCTGCAACAGACTGAGAAGCCACGGTCATTGTGTTAAACTACACCACCAGTGGAACCTCACTCTGTGAAGACTGTGTTGATCAGTTGTGCACTGACCTCCACACATTAAAAAAACTCACGCACAGGCGTCTTCCAAAGAAAATAAAAACCAAGCAACCAAAGTCCCATGGCGATCAGCGAGTGGCGACGGGGCAGGACTGTGAAATCTGGAAGCCCCTAGTCACAGACTGGCACATGGGCGGTGGGTACGGACTCAGTCGTTCTACCTCAAGGTCCGAGGCAGTTGAGTAGTTCGGCAGCTGTATCCGCGACTGAGCAGCCCTATTGAGGACCCACTCTGCTCACCCCACATGGGGAGGGGGCTAGAAAAGGTGCCCTAAACATAGTCTGCCTCACTTATCCCTGACTGGACTGCCGCGTCCAGTGGGGTCACCACCCTGCGGCCAAAAAAGGAAAATGAACTTCGGTACGTGGAACGTACGGACTCTGATGGACAACAGTGGCAGTGAACGCCCCGAACGCAGAACTGCCATCATTGCAAGGGAGCTGGGACGCTTCAACATCGACATAGCAGCCCTTCAGGAGACCCGGAGAGCAGGAGAGGGACAGCTGAAGGAAGAAAAAGGAGGCTACACCTTCTTCTGGAAGGGACTGCCCGAAAAAGACCAAAGAATGCACGGAGTTGGCTTCGCCATCAGAAATGATCTGATGAAACATCTGTCCGAAGCACCCACTGGCATCAACGAACGACTCTCAACCCTCCGAATCGATCTTGCCAAAAACCAACGGGCAACCATCATAAGTGCCTATGCACCAACACTAGATGCTGACGAAGACATCAAGGAGAAATTCTACTGTCAGCTGGATACCGTCCTATCGGGGATACCTAAGGAGGACAAAATCATCCTCCTGGGGACTTCAATGCAAGAGTCGGGCGAGACTTCGACCTGTGGCCAGGGACCATCGGAAAAGACGGGGTTGGAAACAGCAACTCAAATGGCATCCTGCTTCTCACCAAATGTGCGGAACACAACCTTGTCATCACCAACACGCTCTTCCGCCAGAAAAACAAGTTCAAGACATCATGGAAGCACCCCCGGTCAAAGCATTGGCACCTCTTAGACTATGTAATCACACGCGCCAGAGACCGCCGTGATGTGCTCCTCACAAGAGCCATGACAGGTGCTGACGACTGCTGGACTGACCACAGGCTAATTCGATCCTCGATGGCTCTCAAGATTGCCCCCAAGCGCAGACTCCAAGGAAGGAAGACAAGGCGCAAAATGAACACCCAAGCCCTTCAG